GTGAGCCATGAGACAAGGAAAGGAAAGGGGAAATGGACCCATGAACCAAAAAGCCAGAAAGACAACAACTTTACTTCTTTTTTCTTAAAACAAAATAAGTATTTGCAACGAGGAACTTATCATATTTTGTAATTTTCTAAGGAGAGGGAGAATCTTTGGCGATTGGTAAGAGACGATGACAAAGAAAACAAGGAGAAATCCATGGAGGTCTGCAACTCTGCGTTGCCATAACAAAGCATAAAATAAAGTGATAAGTAAATGTTGGGCATTTATGGAGGAAGAAAGTAGCGGTAGCATGAATTATGAAGAACAAACCCGCAGAGATACGGAAATGGCATTTGTTTTGCTCAAAGAAAAGGAAATGGGGGATTTGTTTTACTTTTCAGTTTTCACCCACAGTCATTTCACGGTTCATTGATTGAGTCTCAGGCAGAGACAGAGTTCGTAAAGGAAGCAATATAGGTACGGTAAAAATAATTTAATTCATCGACTGCTGAAAACAACAGAGCTACAGTGCCCATCAATCACAGTAAAAAAAAAATTACTCAATGCAGTGCAGCCATCAGCCAGACACTTTTCCTTTTAGTTTCCTTTCTTATATTTTAGTATTTTACTAGTGGTTTAGCGAGTGGAATATTATCCGGCTAGTTTGGAGGTTAGGATTTCAAAGTTGTATTTAGCGAGTGAAGATTTCGTCGTTTTTTATTTAATTTACGTTAGAATACAGGTATTTACTTTTTAAAGGTCCACCTCTAATCACTCAAATTGACGGATTGACAATCTCTACTGAAAGATGTGATTATTAACGAGAGATTGTGTATCCAATTTGTGTCCCTTATAATTTTCATTTATTCCACAAATGTCCTTATCAACATCTCCTCCTTCCTCTCCCTCATGTTGAGTCATGTATCTCCCAGATAGGGATGGCAATAAAACCCAAACCCACGGGTACCCACCCGACCCAACCCGGTCAACGCGGGTAAAATCCGTGTTGACGGGTTTTGGGCCGGGTTTGGGTTTAAACATGTTCACTATTCACCAGGTTGGGTTTGGGTTTAGGTAAACCCGACCCATGGGTAAACCGCCCACACCCATATAATTAATTTTCTCGATATATTTAATATTCTAAACAACTAATCTTATTTATGTTTGTGGAGACATGTCTAATTTTTTCTTTCTAATTGTGTAGAATGAAGTTGACGTTATCTAGTGGAGAGTGAAGAAACTTAATTGAAAGGAAGAAGCTTTCAATTAATCATGTTATTTATGGATAATTTGTGATTTGCTTCAATTTTCTTGAGTTTTCTAGATTGGTGTTGAATAATTTGTATAGTTAATTTGTTATTTGCTTGAATTTTCTAGAATGGTGTTTTAAATATAGATAATTTGTATTGAGAGATTGATACTTGACTTTAATTTTGATAGGAACTTGTTATTGTAAATTTTTTACGACAAAAATCTGTGGGTACCCATGAACCCGGGGATACCCAGGGGGTTGGGTTGGGTTTGAGTTTTTCAAACCCAGTGAATTTTACCCCGGGTTTTTTTCACAGATAAACCCATGGGTTTGAGTTTGGCAAAACCCGACCCAACCCGACCCATTGCCATCCCTACTCCCAGAGAAGCAAAAGGAAAAAAACCACAACTCCCATGTTCCTCTCATTCCCATAGCCTCGTCTCTGTTCTCCAAAGTCACAAAAAATCTCATTATCATCAGCATCACGCTAGAGCCGGATATAATCTCGCCATTAGAAAGTTGTCATGAATCGAAGTAGAAGAAGACACATATTGCTACACATTGCGAAGCAAAAAGGAAGACCACTAGCCGTGAAACGAAAAGTCGTCTTAAAGTTGCTGCATCTGTTTCTCCTAGAATCGACAGCCTGTTTGGATTGACAAAAAAGTAAGGAATTGGAATTCCATTTCCAATTTCATTTCCATATATTATGTTTGGAATAATAAAAAGGTTGAGAATTGAATTCCAATGGGTCTAAGATATGGGAATTACAATTCCTATCAAAAGTGATAGGAATTGAGAGAATGAAGATGGAATTAGTGGGACCCATTAATACTTTTTATTATTTTGTTGACCCACTATCATTTTACTCTCTTTCTCTCTCATTCATATTTCATTTCCCAAAATAAAACAAACATATTACATTATTCATTATGGTTAAAAGTGCAATTCATTTCCATAATTGTAGGAATTATACTAAACACTAGAATTGGAAATGGAATTCTATAAAAATAAAAAATTGAATTCCATTTCCATTTCTTCCGGAATTGTATCCAAACAGGCTGCGAAGGAGATTGTTCGTTGTTTGGTTAATAGAACAGACATGTCCCTCGTTCTAATCAGTATCCATCTATTATCTTTATTGTTGGGTCACTTCCTTATTTTCTTTGAGAACCCTATTGTCTAGTTGTAGGTCATGACAAGGTGCCCCAAAAGGAAGAAGGCAATCATAGCCGCAGGAGTCGATGTTCAGGGTTCGTTTGCTTCATGGATTTAAAAATGAGGGTTTTGTAATTTAAAAACCCAAGGATTTATCAAGGATTTGAGGCATCATGGATTTGTAACAATCCTTTGTTTGTTGGGATATTTTTATCATGGATTTAAAGGTGTGGGATTTACTACTTGAAGTCAGAAATTACATTACTACCCTTTTCTATATGTTTGACATGTTTATGATATGTACACAAAACAATGACAAAACTTCAAAATTACCTTACTATCATTTTCTATATGTTTGACATGTTTATGATATGTACACAAAACAAGGACAATACATACTAATAAGCATAATGTTGCCACATGGACATATATTAGAATCGGGAGAACAAAGAATTACACGTTCCATGAAAAGGTCAAAGAAAACTAGAACACAAGAAATGATATAAAAAATCTAACTCATGTTTGCACATTAATTGAACGTTTATATTATTCATTTATTGTTAATTATAATGTATAATAGTTAAATTTGAGGGCAACCTTGGAATATTAAGGGCTCGTTTGCTTGTTGGATTTGAAAATGAAGGTTTTGAGTTTTAAGAACCTTTGGATTTATGATGGATTTGTTGCATCATGGATTTGGAAGAGTACATTGTTTGTTTAGTTGATTTTTTATCATGGATTTGTATCACATTTTTTCCTTCTATTGTCAAATCCCAAATGAATTGTGGGATTTACAAATCCGTGGGGTCCACGGATTTGGATCTAAAAAAGAGATCCAAATCCGTGGACCCCACGGATTTGTGTCCCTCAACAAACAAAGGATTTGTGTCAACTCCATGATGCTTGGGATTTGGGTTCCAAATCCATCTATTAAAGGCAAATAGATTTACTTGATGGCAGCAATTGAGTTCGAGAAGAACCTTGCCAAAAACCCTGAATTATTAATACAAAACACAATCGAAAAATATAAAGATTTAGATCAGTTCGACATCATCCGTTACTTAAACCTTGAGAGAGGGGTCATCCAAATCGTCAAATCCATTGGTAGCATCCACCATATTTTTCATAAAGCTTTTACCTTCAAATATTGTTCTGCCTTCAAGTTTACCCTGCAATATTTTCTTCTTGACCTCCAACAAACCCCCCCTCCGTTTAAAATCTCGCTTCAACCATCGAAATCTTCAGCAGTGGAAGACCCCAAAACAACTTCAAATCTATGTTCCTCTTCGTTCTGTAGGATCTTTAGCTATTCAGTCCCTACCGAAGTTTCACTATGGGGGATGAACGTCGATGACGCCATGAATCCATGACAATAAAAGGGTCGAGTCCAATAAAGAGTTCATTGTTTATTACCTAGAATAGGGGGCTGCATTCATCATTCTATGGGTACGCAACTCCAGACCACAGAAGGTCGTGGCCATCTATACTTCATCAGAAAAGGCAGAGCGACATAAAAATTTGATCGGAATAGGTGGAGTGGAATCGATTGGAACTGACGGCGGGGGAGACCATTGATTTACCTTTATCTTTCCCATCCTCTCTGATTCGACGGGATCTCCGACAATGTAAACCCTTGGTCAATGGTCACCATGGTACAGCGAAAATAAAAGGCAAGAAAATAAGACCATAAAAACACAATTAGTACCCACCGTCGTTCTCATCACGGGGGAGAAATGGATATAGGAGGAAGGGATTTGTGGTGGGATGGGAAGGAGAACGAAAAAGGGAGAAGGACTATGCACCAAATAAGCAGGTTGCATATCGACAGCCGCATGAAAACCTCCTGTGGGGTTCAAGCGATGTAATAATTCTCACGCAAACATTTGACACCAGGAGATAAGGGTTGTGAGGAAGAAATTGGGCAACGGATGATTGTGGCTTGGGTAAAGATTGGCGAAATGGCGGTGAGCTTGATATCAGTCTACATCGGAGAACAGAAACTGGTCGGTGTTCGATGGAAGTTTTACGACCAGTGGAATTAGGATGGGATTTGCAGCTTCGTTGATGCGGGAGCCAGGCACCGGCGAAGGAAGTAGAGTTGGGAACAGTTGGTGGACACGAAGGTTAGTTTAGGCTAAGTGGGCCTCAGTGGGCCCGTTCAGCGACGTGAGAGGGTGTGCAATTTTTTTCTTCCAAAAGTATCCCTCCGAAAAACGCTCCGGAGGCAGCAATTTCAAAATGGGGCTTCAGTTTTAGGCTTCAGCGTATTATAATTAGAGTAGATGAAATACATTTTCATTTCTCAGTATATTATTCGACTTAGCTACAACTTTTCAAATTGTGTATCTTCGACGATATCCATGCCATAAATCTTTCTATTGCTCTGAGATCTTCATCCCAAATTCTCTATTCAATTATGCCTTCAACTTAATGATATTTGCCTTATCTTTTTGTTGGAATCGACAAGCAGGAGGGAGAGAATATGTGACCTGTAAATAAATTTTTTTACACCTTTTGTAGACTGTATGTGTATAAATAGCTTCTTGGGTTCAGTTTGAGTCCAATTGTTCCTCCCAACACTATTTAAAACTAGTACTATTGCACCCCTTTTTCATATTGCATACCCTGGGATTAGCTTACTAATTATTATTTGTGGTAGTTCTTTATTCCTACCAAATACCAATACATGACCAGACTCTCCTGCCTCTGCCAAGCCCCTAAAATTAAAATGCGCCAACTTAAAGAACTCAAAGAGGGTGAATATGACTCGGATGAAACAAGTTAATACATACACGTAGTGTTTGAATCCTCAGAACCTCCCCATTCACTTTTCATGAATTTTCACAGATCAAGGAAGGGAGTGCAGCAAAAAATGACTACAACAGGCCGGAAATGGAGACACAAGTGCATGCCCTCTATGACAACCACCAAAATGTCAGTTGTACCATCAAGCTGCAGCAGCTGCTTCAACTGCCTCGCCCTTCTGGCTCGCTTCCTTCAGTTTCTTCCAGTTCTCTGCAGTATCGATTATCTCACCTGTCTTGATCAAGTACCGGACTCGCGTCCCATCATCCAGCACTTTGTGACCCACCCGGCTCGCCACGTTCTGGTCTTTTGAGTACAGCATTACGTTGGAGCTGTGAAGTGGTGCTTCAATCTGGAATATGTGGAGATGCAGGTCAAGTTGGGTCTCAAAGACAGCAGAATATGGAAACAAGAAATGCAATATCCAAAACAGTACTAAAGTCTACACATACAATATTCAGTCTGTCAGAAATATCAGAGTACAATAAAATAAAGGCAGAATCCTTTCAGAACTCATGCATACTCCAAGATGTGCACCTACTTCATGCAAACTGCAGAGAAGATTTGCTACTGATGTGCTTAGTTTTGTGTTGGTTCAAGAGATAGCGAAGACTGCATTTTACATACGAAAAAGATTGCATATCCCAAGTCAATTTTGCTGCATTCATGCAGAGGTAAATGTAACCTATGCTATGTGTGTCTACAGTTTCATAAGGATTGCCTAACAAAAGTACGACGGTGGAATCACCTTAATGATTTGGCCAGGTTCATCCTGTTCTCTGCTCTTCATATGCTTCGTCTTTAAGTTGATGTCTTTGACGACCACAGTGCTGTTGTGCCTGAAGATCTTTGTAATTTCTCCAACTTTCCCTTTATCGTCTCCGGCTATCACCTTCACCGTATCTCCCACCTTGACATGCATCTTGTGCAAAATTGGAAGGCTGTTTGGTTTGCACTCCTTCCGCTCCCATCGTTTTAGCTACAAGTAAGCAAGAGACAGACATACAGCACAATTCATTAATATAGGGTTGCCCTCAGGTTGAAAACAGGAGGTCCTAAATTCAGCAAATTTCTCAATCTCCCCTTAGTCACAGGCTCAAAGCTAACACAAACTCCTGTTGTTCAATGGACATTGCACTATCTCATCTTCTCCATAATCTTATACTTCAACTGTGAGCTCTATATGATGGAGAAAGGCCCTACCTTTACAACAATGAGACATGGCTTCTCCTGCGACTTAACCTGCGCGAGGAACCTCAAGCAGATAAGATCATCGTCAAAACACATTAATCAAACTTTCTCACATTGCAAATTGAACAACAAATGACAAGGGCAAATTGCTCAAAACACACAGTACACAATTGACTGAAACAGCTCACCCATCCTGCTGAATTTCAGCGCGGGAAATCAAGAATCGAACAATAGAATTGGAATTTCAGATGGGTACATGAAGGAATCGAGGAATGTCTAAAACAAAAGCACAGAAATTTGTTTGGGGGAGAAAAAATGGCGTACAGTTAAAGGGGAGAAGGTACACGGAAATGAGAGGCGGTCGCCGAAGAAGGAGCTTGAGGATATCGAAAGAGAAGCCATGGAGGCTTGAATTGCAGCTGTGGCTGCCATTTTCGCTCTGCTGTAATGCTGCTGGCCAGCTGCTGGTGCTTCTTCGTCTTCCTCCTTGCAGTTCGCGATTGATAGAGTTGTTGAGTTCAGAAGATGAAGGAATGGATAACGCCTGCTCGGCGCTCGCTATCTAGCAGTTGCCAGACGACAACCTTCGCTGCCGTATTAAGTATTAGTCCCTCTCACATTGATTTGGGCTTAGCCCATTGGTCTACCAAAATGGGCCTTGATTTGGGCCACCGTCACAAATTTATCCACGTGAAACTAACGGGTACGGCCCTCAACCAAGATATCCACTTCATCCATCTACTTTTTCTTCCTCCCCTCAACCAAAATAAGCTAGGAGCACTCCAATGTTTTTGGAACAAAGTTGTGGTTGAAATAATTGGCACAAAATCAATTTTTTAACTAAAAATTTAAAATCTTTATTCCATAACGATCATGTAATGAGAAATGATTGATGAGATTGTGTGATTGACTGATGAGATCCCGTGAAAAAGTTAGTAAATCAGTTGATAGAATTGCATGAAAAAACTAGGTTATGGTGCATGAATACAAATTGACTTGAGTAATTAGTTAAGAAAACTTGTGTAAAAATTAGGATATGTGTGAAAATTGTTCAGATTCTCTCCTTCACAACTTAGGTCAATGCAAACCATCATCCATCCCTTAAAACCATGAACGTATTTCATAACAAAAAAGTCTCGGCACACTAATCACGATCTTTAAAGTTTAAAGAAACATCTAATTTTGTCTACAAAATTCTCTTAATTTCAGGTGTATACTAAGCGAATCACAAATTGCATATAAAAAAGCGAACTATTATTTTGAAAATTCTAGGAATTAATAGAAACAGCGGTAACACGACTCGTGTGGATTTATCGCGTCTTGCTTGATAACAAATTTCAAGTGTCCATTTTGCATCATAGAAAACGGGATCCAAATACATAACTCTATATTTATCATTTATGTAATGCTACTAATTTTTACGCAATAAATAAATTTTAACAGGTTATATGTCCCGAAAATTGTAATATCCCCTCTTTTTTGTTGTGTGCGCATGAACAAAAAATGGTGCCTCCAAGACCAATACACATGATGTTTCTCTTCACCGCACATGCTGCATGCAAATGGAATAACGTGTATGATCCGCCATCACGTGATGAGGAACATTCCCACTCAGTTGGAAGGCTGTCAAGTTGCCTGGTCGGTTTTGTTGTCTTGTTGCTGTATATCCATGAGAAAGGTTTTTAGAGGTGCCACCATCACCTAATTCTCGCAATTTGGTATTTATTTCATGGCGCATGAAACCGTATCGGAGGTCGTACAGGAAAAAAACAATAGTGATAGGATATTGTATAGCAAAATCGTGGTTTAATTGTAGTTCAATCGTTTGTAACGTTAAATACTATCTACTGTTTCATCCTACTGGTATTTTATGGTTGAACCGCGCCGGTAGGATATGGTTTCTTGGACCATGATTCATTTACGCGATTTAAGGGGTCGTTTGGTTTTGGGTGATAGTTAAATCGATGTATTGTCATCAATGCATGCATAATAATATACATGTATATAAGAACATCGGTGTATTGTAGTTCACATCGTTTGGTTTCTGTGATAGTTATTGTAGTATTTAAATAAATAATATCACTTTTTGGGTGAAATGTCACTTTTACCCTTTGTTTTCAATATAAAAAAACAACACTCATAAAAAGGTAGGGATATATTTGGAAGAAGAAGAAAACACAACAATCTCCATCAAACAATCTCAGCGGAAACTTGAGATTTAACTATCACTCAAAAGTCAAATCAAGCAAGCAATACATGTATTGTTTGCGCAAAAAATTCATAAAAAACAATGTATTGTAGACATTGCATGCATTGTAACTATTGCAATCAAACTATCGCCAAAACCAAACTAACCCGGTTTATTCGGGCAAAGAAAAGAAATCACTTTTCTTTAAGTTAGTATCTCTAGAAGAAAAGAGAGCATTTTCCTATATCCATTTCCATTCCATGACCACCACTGCGACCAGATCCATCAATATAAACACGACGATGGCGGGCCACTAGCCAAAGAGTTGGCTGGTCTGTTTACTGCTCCATTGAAATTTCAACCTAAACACGACGATGGCGGGCCGCTCGAAAATTGCAGCAGCATACAAGAATCGACAAAGGGAGGAGATGACACATTATCACCACCAGTACACATAGGACGGCCAGTGTTCATTTACTCGAGGCATTTCAATATACAAAATCAACTGGACGTGTTGTTTCATAAAAAAAAAAACCCATCAAATCTTCAGAGCACCTCATTCTTTTACATATGAAATGTATGTACGCTTTTTTGGCCCAAACTCTCTATCCACTGTTTCATTTCTTGGAGTTTAGTGGACGATAGGCAAAAGACCTTAGCCCCACCGACTTCCTTCCCCGCCCGAGCTGTCCGTACCTCCCCTTCCCGATCTTGCCCCAAAATCGGCAATCAGAAATCAGAAACATTGACCATGCCTTTCCTTCACCGCCTTTTCCCCAAAATCAGTCTGTACATCTTTTCAGTGTTCCAACCTGCTCTTCCTGATTACCCGCTCCCTTCACCATTGGCCACACACGCCACCGGCCATCAATTGTGCCTCCCGCTTTGCTCCCCTCAATTCAGGGAAGATTGATGTCCTCTGTACTCCCAAACACCGGATTTGTTGGCCGCTTCCCCGATAAGAGCATCCCAGCCGCACCCCTTTTCATCCATCTGTCTCTGTTGCCGTCTTATCAATTGCAGCGACCATGCTTCTGTATCCCCCGTCCTCCCCAAAATCTGCTTTTGCAAGCTACTGCATCAATCATCTCCGGCCCCCACCATTCTGGTTTGCTTCTCGATGTCGAACTCTGAAAACCTACTCAAACACTTCAGCGCCCATAATTTTTCTACATAGGTTCTTAGCCTTCGAGGGAAGACTTTTTCTCCGTCGACCCACCTTTCAATTCGATTCTCTTTTTATCTGTTCTTGGTTTAGCACCCAATTCTTCGGCCAAACCTCCTCCCATTCTCCCTTTTCGTGTCAAATACCTCTTGCACAAGCCCCGCGCCATTAATCATTTCGAAGTCCAATTCTGATTTATTCTTACCGCTGCCAGCGCGACAAGTTAATGGTTGCTGTGATTTTCCACTCCGGTCCTGCTTCACATGAACAACTAGCAGAGCGTATCATAGTGAAGGAGAGAGATGGCGTAGAAGATGGATTAAGTTCCACGGCGGCGAAACCTGCCCAGTGCTCACCTAAGGAACCCCCATGGCGACGAAGATGAGCCGCAGCTGATCATTCCTTGAAAACTGGTTCAGTTGCGTCAACCTTTGGTTAAGACTCACGGGCTCTCTTCCTTTTCTTAGTTTTGAATGGCAGTAAGTATTGTAGAGAGAGACTGGCGGTGTAAAAGATATATTATATTTGTTGTTGATTAGGGGTGGCTGGATGAATATGTTGTTTGATGTGAGTTTTATGCTGCTGCAAGTAGGAGGATAGACAACTGTGTCACTACTTTTGTTGAAATCGAAGATACAAGCAATGGTAAGTGATTTCCTGTGCCTTTTAAGTTAGTGGATGGATACAATACAAGCAATGGTAATCCTTTTTTACTGTTTAGGTTTCTAATTGCTTCCTTTCTTTCTGAGTTGCGTAAAATTTCGTTTGAGACCAGGGTAGCGGTTATTCGTGAATGCTATTTGTTGTTTCATTGGTTTACATTTCCTTTGCTCTTTTGTCAGCTAGTTGCTCTCTGATGCCAGCTCTAATTCCGACTACTACATTCGGAAAAAATTTGTGCTTAGTTCGCTAGAAATAACCCACTTGGCACTTTTGTTGGCTGAAAATCTAATGATATTTGAGATTTTGATGCCAGTTTCAAAGCACCAGATGGACTTGGACAAAATAGAGCAGTAATGGCAGAGGGCTGCAGGATGAACGAAAGGAACATTGTGTGATAAGTTTGTCATTGAAAGGTAAGAGATAACCAATGCCTTTTGTTTTTTGTGAATTCTGATGTACTGCCAGTAAAAGGACTTCGAATTTTAATTATTTTTAACCTTTTCATGCTTAAAGGTGGGGTTTCCTTTCATCTATCTTGCAATTGCAGGGATCAAGCTTAGGATTATGAGGTTTAACTGGTATTTGGAAAGTGGCAATGCAAAAATTGCCAAACTTTCTTTGTGGTTTGCCTAAAGGAGAACTATATAAGACCACGAGGTTAAAGGTAATTAAATTCACCATATTGCTATTTTGCTTATATAGGCGCTTTTTATTAATACATGGTTGTTCTTCCTTGATCCATAATATTGATATATGTTGTTAAATTTTCTTTATTTTGAACAATTCATTTGCCTCTTTAGCGGATATGGTTGTTGGATGAACCTGAATGGATGGATGTCTACAAGCCTTACAGGTGGTTGAGCTACTTGCAAACAATGATTTCTCTTGACAATATGTTCTTCACGTTTCTTATGGAGAAGCTCCCTTAATTTTAGTTGATATTGTGTACTAACTAAACTTAGCACTGGCTTTCGGCCCAGCTTGGAGATTGCTTTTGAGAATGCCATACTAAATATCCAGCTACTATTAACTTAAGTTATTATTGTTGCCGTCAAGATTTAATACCATACTTAATTTTTGTCATGAAATCTCTCAAATCAAGTCTGTTGCTTGCTATTGAGGATTGATTTCAATGTTTATGGTCAAAGGTGAACATTTAGGATGAAGAGAATGCAATACCCTATCCAACTTTGCTATGTCATGATGATCAACAAAGGCCAGGATCAGGTTCTCGATAGAGTTGGAGGGTTCTTGCCCAAACCCGATTTTAGTTACAACATTTGTATAATGTTACCATTTCTCATGTAGATCAGCCGAGAGCCTTAAGTTCCTTATACATGTTGATGATATTGATAAGTTCATTCTCTTGGTGCACGTGTGATTGCTCTAAGGAGTATATTTTAGTTTCCCATTGTCATCTCATCAACTGGCATGTTGCTTAACTGATGACATTAATTAGTGAGAACACAAACAAAATATGAAAGACTAAATAGAAAAGGATGTTGAATACAATTTTCAATGACGGAAATTTGCATATCATGCTAAGTTACCAACACACCACTGGTAGGCATACACGTTCTTCTTAGTGACATTAACTGTTTGGACCACCTCCTTAATACTCTACAGACTGTAGAATGATGTTGATGCAAGTTTAGTCCCTGCGGCGTAGCCGCGAGTATCGATTCTAGTACCTTTTGAAGTGGCGGATGATATTTTAATGAGAGTTTTTGGGATCGCTGTCTGCCCCAAACCAGATTCATTCCGAGAGCGAAATGATGGGGAAGAGAGAAAAGGCAGATAAAACAAATGATGGTTAGGCTGAAGAAGTAGACTAAAAATCTTAAGTGGAACTGTGGAAGCATGCGATGAGGCTTCTTTTGATGGTGTAGAAATGCAGCAATCAAACTATTTAATTAAGCCTTTCTCGAGGAAAGGTAGGTAAGAGTTTATATGGCTGAATTTTGACCTTATTATCCAATTTTTGTGACAAAATCATCTTGCCATAAACTCGAGAGTGTAACTTATAGGCGAGTCAAATGTTTTTAAGAAAATATCTTGTGATTTGGAATTTGGTGGAACACGAATTTAGTGTATTTGGATGTCTCTAAAAACTATAGATTTTAAAAAATTTGAAAATTATTGATCATGCATATTATATAATATAATGAATTAAGTGTTTTGGTTCATAAATTTTGACACAAGATGCTACACTCAGACTTACACACTTTCGTCGAGGACATGAGTCGAAATTGAATAATTAAACCATTATTAATTGACATGATAATTGTTGGGAGCTTTCATCCAAATTTTATGATAAGTTTAACCAAGAGTCAATATTTCTTAACTGATTGAATGATTTTTTTTTTTTTTACTTAAGGCATATGTATTATTATGTATATTAGCAAATCAGAAAAATCATTGACTTAGCTAGTCATTTGTGCTTGGTTGAGAAATTATCCAATAACAATTTTTTTGACAAAAGATAATTTTGTAGTGATTAAAAAAAAATATCCACACATCACACTCTAGTATATGTTACAAGAAAACCCTATCCATCAAATACATAGGAGACCCAAAACTTCTAACCTTGTGATCATGTCTTCTCCCTCTGCTTTGCATACTAACAACCAAGCCAAACTCATGTACAAATCAAAACAATCAAAAAGAACCAAGAAGAATAGACCAAGCATGCAATGAGAATGCATCATCTGAACTTTCACAAAGTGTCAATACTGTCCATGGACTCCTCCCTCCGGTGTTGGCGTTCAGATGTCGGCGTCTTGACTTCAGGCAGCTCGATGTCGATGGAAACTTCCTCCGGTGTGGCAGAGAGGAACAACTTCCTCAGCTGGTGCTTCCTGTTGTGCCTAGCCTTCAGGATCCTTGACAGCACCTGCACTGTGTCCCTCATCGAGGGCCGCTTTCTTGGCACGCGCTGTATGCATTTGTACGCAAGAGCTGCGACTTCGTTCAGCTCTTGCATATCGAACTTACCTTCCAGGCGCGAGTCCACTATTTCCTCCCACCCCACTTTTCCATCGGAGTTCATTGCTGCCTGTCGAAGTAAACCAACACACAGACCACAAACATGTGCTTATTGTTCATGTCATAATGATATCTGGTAATAAGGATTAGAGAGAGAGAGAGAGCATACAAGCTCAACGTATTCCATGAGACCCTGCTGAGGATTTCTGCCGGCTATAAGCTCAAATAGCAACACCCCGTAGCTGTAAACATCGCTCTTCTTTGTGAATGTCCTCGTGGATATATACTCAGGATCAAGGTATCCGAAAGTTCCCCTTATGTTGGCAGCGTGTTTATCGACCATCTCTTCTCTCGATAGTCCAAAGTCAGCCACCTACTTATACCACGCACCGCACATACAAACGAGAGTCCAACTAGTTAATGCCAAGGAAAGTAAAAAAAAATGAGTGATCCAGTATAATGTTGGGATCTGATCAATGCATTAGAAGACTTCATACCCTGGCTCTCATTGAGTGATCCAACAGAATGTTGGATGACTTAATGTCTCGGTGAATCACAGGTGGCACTGCCTAAAGATAGGAATAGGGTGTTAAGCATACAGAGTATAGCGTGGCTTAAATTGATAAGCGCAGAAGAGATGTGCACACAATGAAAAGAGTCTAACTAAAAGAGAGAGGCTCACCCCATCATGGAGATACTCCAAGCCTCTTGCAACATCTAGAGCAATATTAATCCTTACATCCCACTTCAATGGTTCATGGTTTTCACCTGCTTGGAGAAGGGGAAAAAAACGTCATTTCAAGGAAACTATTCTAACCCTTCTTCTAGGCTTTCAAAATTTGTGAATCAAGGTAAAACCAGCCTTCTTCAGTTCCTCTGCTGTTTGGCTATATTCTTCTCTTGAGCAGATCGATAAATCTTACAACAAAAGGTTGAAGAGTTCACACCAACTTACTGTACAAGTGAGAAGATAAGCTCCCTTTGGTCATATACACATATATGAGTATGTGTCTCCCTTTCTCAGAGCAGTACCCAACCAAATTGACTAGGTTTCTATGATGCAACCTTCCCAGTAGCATGACCTAGAAGCAGTGAAAAAGGAAAGTAGTGAGTTAAATAGTGCTCACTGATGTGGATTGGCACTAAGCCTCCGGAATTAAAAAGATTTCTCAGTGAAGATTAAATTGTTAGAATGTCTTCAATGCCACTTATGTCCCTCAAACCCAAACCCACACCATTCCACTAGCTGTTGCAAGAGGTTAAGCTGACTACTAGCCTTACTAAGCTTAACCTACATTAGCACGGACCCTATATACTGTTAGAAGTGAAAATCATAGTGTCCCAGCCAAGCATATTGTCCACGAAAACCAAGTAGAAAGAAGCAAATTCACTAAATTCCATGGAAAGTTGAGTAAGCAAGTTGTAATAATATTCTTCACAATGAACAGGCAAGGCTGTTAGGGCAACTGTAGTATCTATCCTTCCACTAACTCAGGATTTACGGCATTACCTCGGTCCGAAACTCTTTCTCCCCTTGTTTAGAATCGGTGGCCAGCACTTTGGCTGCTACAGTTTCGCCAGTCAACATTTGAGCTTTATAAACAGAACCAAATGCTCCTTGTCCAATCACTGTAGTGAAGTTACTTGTCGCTTTCTGGAGATCCCTGCATTGTGGTGAGGTTATCATTATGAATAAAACCACAGGCAAAGAGCTACATCAATGACCTAACAGCCAGAGGTGATGACTACACCAATACATGTAGGTCATTGCACTTTGTTGCCTTATGCAACCAACATAAGGAAGAACACCTTCAAATATCAAGCAAAGGGCAAAGAAGATTGTGAGAGGAGGATGAGAAAGGGAACCAGTGAACATACTTGTAAGAGTACTCGGGTATGCCAGAAACCGCCACACCATTGCTCTTCTTAAAGGTTTCAAGCCAAAAGGAGAGCCCATTTCTACCCCCGGATTTCATAGGCGAATCGGGACCAACAGTTGAATCTGACATGATGGTACTAGCATCACCCCCATTTTCTCTGATAGGTATCGTGGCTGCTCTCCTAGAACTGCTGTTACCAATCTGGGATCGCTTCCTGTGGTACCTATAACTGAAGAACGCCAGAATAGCCAAAAGCACGCCAATCACCACCCCAATTGAAATCCCAATGATCAACTGAGATGATTCCCCTTTCATATCTCTCTGTCTCTTTCCTTCTGCTGCTGCTACTTGCTACTACTCAAGCTTCCAATCCATGCCATCATAACCCTGCAACTCATCACCAATTCACCGTGTTACTACAAAGGATAAACGATGCAATTTCCATCGCCTGTCACAATTCTAGAGTTTGACCTTTCAAGTACAAGCCAATTCTCAGATTGGTTGGGATTAAAATTTGCTCACGTACCTGTCACTTCTTCTATCCAATGTTACTATTATTAATATTGTCGTTGTTTTAAAATCAGCAAATGGTTAACTGGAAAAGTCAAATGCAGAACATGTGTGATGTGTCCAGCATTCTCCATAAGCGAGAGATCTCTTTCTTTTTTAAAATGAGAAAAAAAATCAACTGGAGCAGATGGATATTCTCTGAATTGTTCAACCCAGTGCAGAAACCCAACACAAGCACAAATCTGCAACTTTTTGCCAAAATAACCCTGACAAAGAGCAAAATTCACTAGTAGAACGCAAAGAGCAGCAGAGCAGAAATTTGGAAAATGAAGGTTGGATAAGACCAAAGCGAGCTGTCCTTGTTTCCCGTCCTGGAGTTGAAAACTAAGGAATCACGGCAAGAGGGGATTTGGGTTTAGTACTGACAATAACAACACAACCTTAAATGGCACCTTCCAAAGAAAGTAACCAATCAATCCGTGCAAACAGAAACACGTATGAATTGATTGAACATTTCTTTCTTTGACTGCACGTTTGCTTGTTCTGGGTTTGTCCGCCCCTCGACTTAAATGCCATAAACCGTATGAGTTAGAAACTGCCAACAACAAAGTTAGTGAAGAAAACAGATGGGTTATGGGTCGCCTCTCAGCCATTAATCTATGTTAGTTTAACAAGAACAAACTGAAATCCCACCCAGATATCCTAAACCCAAATCCACACTGCAACTCGTGCATTTTCAACAAGGGCGAAAGAAAGAAGAACACGTACAGTTGAAGAAACTGACAGATCAAAGGCGTAAGGAAGTCATTTCAAGATAGAAACATTTCTCCAGAATTGGGTTTTTTGCCCAGAGAAGATAATTTACCTGCCGGTCGTCGTCGTCTTCGTCTTCGGTAACTCTTGGAGTGAAACAGCGTCTTTCTGGACCTCTTCGAGGAAATGCGAGAAGAGCAAAAAACCCAAAAGAGAAGGAAGAAGAGAAATGCCCGGAGTGGGATTGAAGCAAAAGCGAGTGACGGAAAAGGATCGAAGGAGCAAGGAGGGCAGGACCCAGTTTGGAAAATTGAATTTTGAAAAGAGAGTGAAAAGGGAGAGGGCGTAGGAGATACGATTTGCTTGCTCGATGGCAATGGAAGAGAGCAGCAGAGTGAGACAGAGGGATTTTCAGACAAGGAAATGGGACGACGAGTGAGAGTGGGAGTGAAAAAAAGTAGTTTTTGTTGCTTTCGCTTTCCGGGGCTCGATACTTTTAGTCTTTTTTTTTTAATATATTTTTAGGGGGAAAAAACGCCTCAGAAACTCCGGGATTGCTGTAATAATAAATTAAAAACCTGCCTCGTCATCAAATCAATAAGGAGGATCACTATGGATCACTATTCACTAGTAGACCTGGCAATAGGGCTGGCAATCGGTTTTCCGGTTAGCGGCTAACCGGTCGGTTTCGACCGAACCGACCAGTTTTCGGCTAACCGAAAACCGTCCTTAATTACATTCGGTCGGTAGCGAAGGGAGAAGGCTCGGCTAGCCGACCAACCGAGGTCGGAAACCGGCGGTTAGCCGACTAACCGAGCCTTCACCCAACCTCCTAAACGACCCGGCCCCCCCTCTCAAAACGACCCCCCTCAAAACGACCCGGCCCCCCAAACCCTAGCCATCCCCTCCACCCTCTTCTCTTCCGCATCCTCTCTCTCTTCTCTTCCCTTTCACCTCTCAAAATGAAAACCCAGAAAAATAAGATCCTCTTCTCTTCCGTCATCCTTCCTACCTCTCTTCTCTTCCCTTTCACCTCTCAAAGAAAACCCAGAAGAAGAAAGAAGAACCAGATGACCACCGCCGCCCTCCTTCTCCCTCCGACTCACGACCACCGCCGCGCCGCCTGCCGTCTCCAACCGCCGCCGCGCGAGCGCCGCCTGCCGTCTCCAACCGCCGCCGGCTTCGCGAGGTCTCCCGCGAACGACATGCAAGCAAGAAGGCGGTGGATTGAAAATGGGGAGTGTGAGATTTCGAGGAGGAAGACGGTGAAGGACTGGAAAGGAGGTGAGTTGAAGAGGGTGGAGGAGAGGTCGGATTCGGTGACGGAGCATATGTGGGGGACGTCGGCCGGGATGGGGCGGTGGAATCGGACTGCGGCAGGCCAGTGGGCGGCGTGGGAGTCGGGGTTGGCGGCGGCGGAGGTGCTGCGGCGGCCATTTCTCGGTGGGAGGATTTTTGGGGTTTCTTTCTAGAGTTAGGGGTTTCTTTCTGAGAGTCTTGGGAGGATTTTTGGAGAGAGAAGGATTGAGGAGATAAAGAATGAGTGGTGGGAGGATTTTTAGATTTTTTTTTATTTTTTTTTATTAGGGTGTGGTTTTCGGTCTTGGGGCTAACCGAACCAAAACCGGCCAACCGACCGGTCGGTGGTCGGCTAACCGCTGTATCTCCCACGGTCGGTGGTCGGTAGCCGGGGGTGGTCGCTCGGTTTAACCGATAACCGAGAATTCGGTTTTCGGTTAAACCGAAACCGACCGACTGACACCCCTACCTGGCAATTTACAACTTGATCTGTTGATCCGACCCGAAACCATTCAAAAAGTAAAATGATTTATAACCAAACTCGATAACTCGCAATTTTTTGGGTCGGGTTGAATGGGTTAGCGGGTCGACCTGTTAGACCCGTTCCATTTATATATCACTCCCAAAATGATAAAATCACTCATAAATTGGTGAGATTTAAATGACATGTTTGGAGTTTAAGGATAATAAAATATCATGTGTTTCTTCTAGTAGTATTACTCTTGTGATTGTTTTTTGACGATTTGCGCAATTTGTATTTCGTTTCATTAGCATGGGAGGATTTGAGAATATGTTAATTAACATGTGTTAGGTACACTATTGTCATGCATGAAAATTTGTGTTCTTCGAGAAAATATGAAGCATGTTTGATATTGTTTCTGAGAGCGCTCATAACCCGAAATGACATGTAACTCGACCCGAAACCGAATGGATCGGGTCAATATTTGATCCGAAATAAGCCAACCAAACATGACACGACCCGTAACCGAAATCCCCAACCCGACCCGATTGCCAGGTCTAATCACTAGATTCAAAGGGCATAGGTTATGTTATAATTCCAATTTTTTGTGGCAAAAATAGAAAAAAAAACGACAAAAATGATTGAGCATGGGATCTAAGCTCACATGATATTGGGGAACAGGACGATAATGGGTCGGGTTAAGACGAGTATCATCAAAACCGCTATTTATTTGTCGATATTTTTACATCATCAAAAATCACTCCTAAAAATGGTACATTTAAATTGTCATAAGACTTTGATAACATACACAGGGAATCAATATTATTTACAAAGTACGCATCCCAGAACTAAAATATTAAGATTATCACGAAAGATACGATAAACGAGAATGCAGAGATAAGAAAGTGGTACATGTATTACCAGCTTTTACACGATTTTGGGGCAAATTGAATAATTATAAATTGCATCGAGCAACAAATAGGGGGTGTGCAACAGTTTGGTCAGGTTATGAGAACCACGGTTCATTAATGAAAGATATCTTAGGATCAAGGACGGGACCATCATTGCATTCGGTCCATTTGATCCGTTTCGGTCGGATCCAAATATCAATTCGGTCCATGTTTTCTTCGGTAAACCCCCCCCCCCCCCGGTAACATCAAACATACTCAGTTGAATGAATTGGATTGCCATCCTTACTAATAAGTAATAATGCTTTTTTTAACTTTCTATTAGATGCAAATAAGTTACAACTAAAAATACATAGCTTTTTGTTAAGTAACTATAAATATACTCAATGATGGGTATAAATAGGAAGAAGAAAAAAACAATCACAAACTTTTTGGTTGAATGCAAATCAAAACAAGTATAAAATGGATTAGTAATTTAAGGGTGTCCCACAAAACACCCCAAAATAGGCCAAAATACTGTTTATGTCCCTGAAAAGGAGTAGCCTCCCTTCCAACTTCAAAAAGACACACATATAACAATAGTCCCAAAAGCTGTCCATCTCCATGTCTAGGACTGAAATCCATGGCGCCAGGGGAATCCGATTCAGCGGCTTCCCGGCTTCCAGGGGTGAGGCAGGATGTTCTCCCATGTGACACCGTCTTCGTTACGACTTTCCTGGAAGACCGCCTCGTCGGTAACGTTCCAGAACGAGTGGAACTGGTACTCCCTCTGAGGATCGGCCTTGTTGTACGCCTCGAAGGCGACATGGCGGTTGTTGTAGGCCAGGTAGCACCAGTACATGGTCTCCTTGATGACGTCGGGCTTGAATCGCCACGTGTACTCGTTGTCCACGGTCACGTAGTGTACCCCGAGATCGTCGTCCTTGGACTTGCAGTGCACCAGCAGCACTGCCTTGGGGTCGCTCAGCTCGTTCACTATGTGGACGTGATGGTAAGGCCAGAAGCTGAGACCCGCCGTGACGTTGGAGGGTTGCAGCAGAACAAGAAGCAGGATGATCCATACGGGCAGAAACACTATTGGTTTCATGAGGAAGCTAGGAATAGTAGTAGAAGCCATAGCTCTCGATCTGGTTTTGGTCATGAAGAGCGCAAAGCTGTCTTGAGGTGGTTATATGTAGGCATTTGATGTACCATTTCCACCTCTCTTTTTAAACACGAATCGCGCGGATCGATCGAGTTGAAACAGTCTTTTTTAGACAGAACAATTTCTAAGTTTGGGGGGGGGGGGAATTTTTTCCCTTGCTCATAATTAGATTGGTTTGACTGTAAGAGAGTGTAGAATGGAAAATTTGAACAGGAGAATATACAACACAAATGTGCATTTTTCTTTCTGACGGTCGAATGTTGGTTCCAATTCACCATCCATCGCAGAAGGGATATCGGATGTCTCGAACGTTGTTGTGCGGTACATTTTCCACAAGCTCATAGGGATGGAAACACATAGTTTCTTATCTGCTGTCCCCATTCGGCCATTACAGCATCTCCCCTGATCTCTGAGACACTTTGCTCCTCTGCAATCACCAGCAGATTCGCGCTTTTTCAACCGACTAAGCGCTTTGATCTTGTTTGTTAGCTGTTGAAAGCAGGCAGAGCTATTGTTGCAGCATTTTGATCCTAGCTAGTGGTCCTTGGTCTCACCTTGTGCATACTAAGAAATCAGTTTAATGCAGGACATGGTCAGTAGCATTCATGATCTTATATAATGCAAAATGCAGTCTCTGTTCCTCGATAATGTAAGCTTAAGATGTAATATCAGGAAGTCGATCGATTCAAGACAGACAGCGATAAGCATTAACGGCCTTCAACTTCGAGCGTGGCAGGCAGATTTAATGCCAGCTTCCTCTCTCCAGGTGGACATCATGAAACATTTTTGCAGAAGAAAATTGGGGGGGAAAATGGAATTCAGTTTTTACTAGCAAAATATAGAAATCAGGCTTCTATTAAAGATTTCACAGTTTCTCCTACCAGAGTTATCAAGCCTTACATTACGGATTTCACACTCCCGGGCTAAAGATCAGGTCTCTGAAAAACAAAAATATTCTGAATTAAGACTACGGCTAAAAATATCATAGCTGATTTACCACCATACCGAATGAAGGGAAGCGAGATGGCGCTGATGAAGCGTTCAATATGGCGGACTTTGAAGAAGAAAGGTTGGATCTTTGTGCTAGGGAAGTTGATGTTTTACAGCAAGGGGGAAGAAGGGTTTGAGGGCTGAACCAAACGAGCTCCATGGATACGGAACACATGAGAATCGCCTTCTTCCTGCAAGTTATGGATAAAATTGGAACTGGCAAGAACAAAAGAAAACGAGGTGTTTGTTGACGTTTGTGGGTTCGGTTGGAATACAGTAACGAACTTCCTAAAAGTTATTGATAGTTCGCGCCAGTAATGGGCTCGGCTGGAAATTGTAATGTCGGTATTTGCTAGCAAAGTAACAATGGCCACATACATACATACACCGCTCTCGTGAAAAGTCAGTTGCTGGCTGTTACAGGTCAAGAACGTCCTTAAGCAGCAGCAGCTGCTGTGAATTGAGAAACCTTAAAGCCCCGAAAACAAGTATTTTCGTTCTGATTAACAACCGCTTTCTCGGCAGGTAGAGAAACAACATTCATCCCGTCGAAAATAAATAGGAGAATAGATTACTTCCTAGTTTTAACGACTGCGGCAGTACTGCAACCTGCATGACTAGCACTAAGTCCACGCAACATAATCGGTACATAGCTCTGCACTTTCAAGTTCAACTCCAAAAGAGTGATCGAACAAAACCATGAGAACCACAATGTCATTCCGTAGAGCAACAAAAAAGTATCAAAACCTCTCTAAAAAAACTGCACCAAGTCCATCTCTTCAAAGGTCTTGCACGCTCAAACCTGCAACAAACGAACACAGATGTGCATTAGACAAAACCTTAGTGACATGTGCGGCAAAACGTTCAATTCGCAGGTAGTAGGTACCAAGTACAATGTGCAACAAATTGATTCTTGGTTTCCTAGGGAAAGCATGTGTTACCGATGCTAGTACAGTGCTATTTCATTACATCACCAAAACCCAGCAGATGGTAAGAGAACTGCCAACATTCTCCAACCCCACACAAGTAGAAGAACAAAAGAAAAGACTCCGTACCTGGGGGAAGAGATTGCTTCAGCTTATCGGCCTTCTCGTTGTCAAACACACATAGGGTGTAGAGGTACTTTGAGCAGCGGACCTTGAACTTGACTACATCTTTGCTCCTCTTGATCTTGACAGAGCGAGCATCCTTCCTTCTCGCCGTGAGAAGGAAGTCCTTGATCTCATGGATCTGCTTCGGCTGTTCATCACAACAAGCAACCAGCAAAATGCCATCATCAAACAATGGTCACTAGACAAAACGGACAGCCAAAAGAAAATGTGCCCAAAATTACTGCATAGGTTATGCGCAGTCGCGCCATGTAGCAAAGGAAGAAATCATTTGCTATCCCTGCTTTTTATCTTGAAACAGCATCAAGCTGCCTAAGGTCCAGACTAACTACACTCAATCAAAAAAGCAGCAGCAGCACTTGAAACAGCCTAATCCTACACAAAATTTGCTGCCAAATATTAACAGAAGCCATCGGTTTCAGGCAGGTAAGGGCTTGGGATACGATGGTCAACACTCAACATCCACCATTTTCACGAACAGTAACGAGGTGGACACCGGACTATAGGAGCCTGGGAATTCCTTCGACCCAACACGAAAACAACATAAAACTACCGACTTTCAGGGTTTCCAATCAACTATCTACAGTAATTTACCCGGGGTTCTAAATCTGGAGGACACGAGGAACGAAAAACACAAACGCTGTATCAAAGAATATGTAGAATGTAGATGGAAGTGAAACTTAAAGCAAAGAATTCGTAACCACCCAATGGAAATCTCACGTTGAACACACAAATTGCCAATTGGAGAGGAGAGGAGAGGAGACGAGATTAGGGTTTACCATTTTGTTTCGTCAAGTTGAGCTCCTCTTCTTCTGGAACTGATTCAGCCCTCGCTGAGAGTAAAACAATTCAACCGGAGTTTCCGAGCTTTTATATTCGGGACGGTGATGGCAAGTGTAAACCCTAGGAAGCAGAACACAGATACGACGAGTCTAGGTGTCGTTTGGTGCCCCCAAGTCCAAACTGTTCCTGGTACGCCTCCGTTTGGGCTCTATAATATACCAGTGTGCGTTAGTGGAGGGAATCATGGGCTTTTAGTATTGGGCCTCACATATAAGACCATTATTTTCTACTTATTGGGCCCCCTGTCCCGTGGGCTCATCTCACTGGACAATTAAGAAAGTAGGGGATTTTGTAGTTTTGCCCCCTGAACTTTGGGGTTTTCCTATTGGGTTAATATTTTCGTATGGCCTGAACTTTGACCAAAATAAACATCCTGGCCAATCTTTTCGATCTATAACATCCTGGTCCGAATTATACACCAAAATAAACAATTTGGCCAAACCCGATGTTTGACCGTTAACTTGGACGGTCAAACGCGTTGACTAACGGTCAACGCGCCACGTCACTGCCAAGTCAGAAGATCTGATAAATATTTAATTTTTTCGTTTTTTATTTTTGGTTTAACTAAGGTATTAGATGATTTTTTTTATTTTATAATAATTTAAAATTAGGCAATGTGTGGAAATTGTGAATTATTTTAAATATTTAATGCTGACTTGGCAGTGACATGGCGCGTTGACTAACGGTCAACGCGTTTGACCTTCCAAGTTAACGGTCAAAAGTCGGATCTGGCCAAATTGTTTATTTTGGTGCATAGTTCAGGCCACGATGTTATAGATCGAAAAGATTGGCCAGGATATTTACTTTGGTCAAAGTTCAGGCCATACGAAAATATTAACCCTTTCCTATTTAAGCCTTAAGAAAATTAATGATTGATTTTTGAAAAAAATATACATGTGTTTTAACATTTGCTTATCGATTTTTGTAACTTTAAATCTTTGATTACTAGTCGTGAAATAATCTAATTCGGTATTTATTGGTACATATATCACAATAATTGTTGAAGCCCGGATACTCCCTCTTCCACGTGTCACTTCCCGCTGCCCCACGCCGAGCGCTTGGACCCTGCAGGACGGGCGCCTAGAGGGCTACCCCCGTCCGTTAGCACTCCAACGATCAAGTCAGGTGCAACTCTAGAGAGAGAAGTGAAGAAAGAAGTTTAGTGTGAGAAAGACCAACCTGCTTAAATGCTACCTACCAAGTGCTATTTATACTACTTGAGCTTCTCGACCAAGCTCCGACCAACTCCTGCCACCAAGGCTTATGTCAGCCTAGCATTAAATGCTTGGTCTCCCCTGGCGCCTACGCGCCTACACGTGGCATACCGCCCATTTTCCACGTCGGGGCGCATAGGGGGACCACCTGCTTCGTGGCGCCCTCCTGAGCTTGTCCACCTGTACTCCCTTGTCTGCGAGCCTATTTTGTCGCCATGCGCCCCTGCTCCTTTGTAACCACTTGGATCATACTCTTATGGGCCATAGATAGGCTTCGGGCCCAACAGACTCTTAACTTTTATGAGCACCTTTCCCCTATCTCAATAAGGCCCATTAGGCTTTTAACTATCATGGGCTCCTCTCTACTACCCCAACAATTGCCCCCCAGTTAGGTGTTCACTGGTGAGCACCTAACTATGTGATCAGGCTTTGTGCTACCATGAGGCGCTCGAATTTGCTTTGCATAAGCCTATGCGCCCCTATCCTAAGCAATGCGCCTTTGGTGTTTACTTCACGTTGCCCCCCTGCCTTTTTAGATGAGCTCGCACCTAGGTTCGGGCGCGTGAAAGAAAGAAAACAGGAGGCGCGTAACCGCGATCCTCATCATTCCATCTGGTTTTGAACAATCAAGTAGGCGCACGGTCCCGTTCTGACCACGCCTTATCGACTTGCACATGCTCACTCACTAAGGCGCCTGCTCGCACCTAGGTTTGAGCGCATGAAAGAAGGAAACAAGAGGCGCGTAACCATGATCCTCACCATTTTGGACCATCAAGGAGGCGCACGGCCCCGCTCTTACCAAGCGCATGACCGTGCGCGTGACCGTACCTCCTGCCCCCACTCGGTGTGCGTTCAAATTTTTGAATTTCAAAATTCAAATTTTGAACGGAGGGCGAGGATTGGATCGTTCAGCGCGCGATTTCCTAGGTGACTCTTCACCTTCTCCCCTTCCTCTTATAAATATTCATCCTCCTCTCCATTCTATCTCATTCGCCCCAAATCTGCTTCTCTCTCTACTTCCTCTCTCTAGCTGCTCCTTCTCCGTCGCACCCACGCGCCCTCCTTTCTCACATCTGTGCGCCCCTCGTGCTCTCACTGAGACATGTCGAAGTCAGACTCCGGCGCAGCGCCGACCGCCGCCGACAAGGAGGCGCCTAGCGTTCTTGATGTCTTGGAGCAGCATCTGTCACCTGACCCGATGCGAAACCAGGATCAGAGAGCGCCTCGATCGACCAAGGAGGCGCCCAAGCAATCGAAGGGTAATTCTTCTTCTTCCGCACCTGCTGATGTTGAGGCAACACAAGCCGTCAACGCGCCTGAAGATTCAGAGGCGCCTTCGGAGTCCGCGCCCACGGCCTCCACCACTAATCAAGGTATTTTTCCTATGCCCCCCTGACTTCCAATCCTTCAATTTTGCATCGCTCCTTTGTTAGGCGCCCATTAGCGATCTTTAGGTCCGTGTCATTGACCGAGGACGATTGGCTTTTAGGCTCCGCGCCTACCTCGGACTCCGCGCCCGCGTCGTCAGAATCAGGTGAGGTGCAAAATTCGCCACCCTCCACCAACTCAGGCGCCCCTGAAGATGGGTCGTTCAAGATAGTTGATTGGGTCGATACTTGGCCACAGGGTGGGGCGCCTGAGAACATAAGCAACCTGCCCGTGACTCGAGCTGGGCCAGACCATGTGGCCACTGTCAAAATAGCAGAGTTGCACCGCCTGATAACCTCGTGCAACTTACCCCGGAGCTGGTCTTATGCGCCTGCTCCACGGGTCACCAGGGTAGGCGTTGTGGGTCCTCGCTGGATTGGGATCTACCGAGAGTACTTCAAGTTCGGGTTGCGCTTTCCCTTGGATTCGATCTTACAGGGAATTCTGGATACATGCGCCTGTCCTATTGGGCGCCTGTCACCGTCCATCTTCCTGATACACATTTTGTTTAAGTTGAAATGCCGTCAGAACGACATCACTCCCACGTTCAAGCTCTTCAAGCATTTTTTCACAATGACCAGCAGTAAAAATTGCATATCTATACAGAGGCGCCTGGATATTCCGGGACATTTTTTGGAGGACTGCCCTAAGTTGGGGCGTGCGTGGTATAGGTCTTATTTCTTCATCAAGCCTCACGCAGACTCTTTTTACGAGAGTGGCGGCCGATTTACCCGGCGTTGGAGGGTTGGCAACACCTCTCACTTTAATGTTGACGAGGAGTTAACCAAGGAGGAGAAAGAGCATGCGCGCCTGTTGTCCCTTCATCCAGTTAATTTGAGTTCGACAGCCGCGCGCGTCCCTGTTCTTCATGAGTACTATGCTGATGGTGGGTAGGCGCATAGTGTTGCACTTGCCTCGCTGCTGGCTCATGCGCCTGTATCATACGTTTATGGCTAACTTTACTTTTTTAACTATGTTGTGTATTCTCTTTGCAGGCGTGGACTATACCTCCGTGGCGTCATTGATGAAAACCCAACTGGAGAATATGGGTCTGGACTATCAAGCGCCTGTATTCCCAGGACAGGGCGCCTCCAAGAAGAAAGGCGCCTCGAAGAAAGGAAATAAGAGAACCGCCCCAACACAAGCACGGACCGGAAGCAAAACCCATGCGCCTGATGCTCCGGCCGGCAGCGGGAAGGGGCGCTCGAGTCCGCGAAGGATTAAGCCACAGAAAGTGGCGAAGGCTCCGGAAGAGAATGCGCCTGTTGATGCGCAACCTGAGGAGGGGGCGCCTCTTATTGCTCAGTCCGATCCGGAGCTGGACATTGATGAAGTCCCCCTGTCGAGCAAGCTTAAAAGGAAGTCGGAGGGTGGCGCATCGACTCATGTCAAAAAGCAGCGCATAGCAGAGGAGGCGCCTGTCCACCCCTTTGTGCAAAAGTGGTTGCAACCCCCGAAGCACAGGGTCGTGGTGGAATGCTCGGATAGGTCTGCGTTGGAGCGAGGCTCGGCGCTTGGTTTCGCTTTCCGCGCCTCCGAAGTACTGCGAGCGCCCTCGAGTGTTGAAGGGAAGAATCTCTGGGGAGAAGTGGCGCGCATAGCGGCTGAGGTACAACAAGCGCTTTCCAACTTAACTTATTTAGATTCTCCAACTTTTATCATGATGCCATGCTATGCGCCCATATTAATGATTTTCGACTTGTTATTTTGACTTCGGTGCAGATGCTCCATTTGGCCAAGAATGGCGCCATGGCGCAAGAGGCGCTGCGCTTAGGCGAAGTGGAAGCCAACAATGCGCTCAGCGTTGCACAGGATGACTTGGAGACAGCGCGGAGGCGCCAAGCAGAGTTGGCGAAGGAATGTGAGGACGCCAATCTCGAGGCTGCTAAGGCTGCGTCCCTCTTACAGACAAGGGTGGATGAAGAAAAGGAGAAGCTGAAGGTGGCGCATGAGGCCCAACTTGAGATTCTCAAGAGGGCGCATCACGAAGAAGTGGCCAGGTTGGTGAATGAGAAGGCTGATCTGGACAAGGAAAATGGCGATCAGAGGAGTGAAATCGATCTCCTCCTTGATGAGAAGAAGGCCTTGCAAAAGGAGAATAAGCAACTGATCCGAGAAGGAAAGAGGCGCCAGGAGGAAATAGAGGCGCTTAAGAGCGAGAAGCCTGCCCCCCAAGCGCCTGGGTCAGATTTGGCTGTGAAGGCGCAGGCGTCCTTGAACAGCATTCTCATCCTGAAGAGGAAGCTGGAGGCTGACCATCCCAATATCAAGTGGGATGTCAAGGAGATGGCTAATTTCGTCATCGATTTTATGGCTAGTGGGCGCCCCATCGTTGATGCCACTCCTGCGCCCCCCGTTGATCAAGAGGACGAAGCTGCTTCGGGGTCGAGCTCGGAGTCTAGTGATGACGAGGATGGGGACGAGGAAAACTGATCTTCTACTTCATATTGGATTTTCATGCGTTTAATCCTTTTGTTGCGCCCACCGAGGCGCCTTGTGTTTTATTTGACTATCTTTGTTTGGGTTGTATTATGAACAAACAAGTGTCTATTTTTCTTTCGTAACCTTTGCGCCTTAGTTTTACGGGCGCCTTACCTCAACATTTAACTTAGTATTTTATCTCATCATATGGGGCGCATTGCATAAGTGCTGTGGGCGCTTAAGAGGGCGCAATGATTTGGTGCTGTGGGCGCATGAAAGGGCACAATGATTCGGTGCTATGGGCACTAGAAAACGATCCCAAAGACAAGTTAACGAAACAAGTATGTATATATATATTCCGACTTACAAAATATCCTCTGGGCGCTACCATCGGGCGCTTTAAGTATCCCGGGCGCGGAGGGGCGCTTTACACTAATGTTGTGGGCGCATAAGGGCGCTTTACAAGACTACTATGAGCGAACTATTGAAGTAGCTATGTATATGTATGCCGATTTCAAAAAACCACCTCAGGGCGCGATTACCGGGCGCTTTAAGTATCCCGGGCGCTAATACTACGGGCGCATTTAGGCGTCTCCCCATGCTCCTACCAAAAAAAACCACACCCCGAGGCTTGATATTTGTTCTCACGTTTACCACAAACCGGGCGCCCCTTCTGGAACCCTACCATCATCTTCCATCACATTGGCCTCCACAACCCCATACCTTCGCAAATTCTGGGCATTCCACGTTCTCTTCACCTTCTTTCCCGACAAATGCTCCAACTTAAATGTGCCAGGCCCCACTACCTCTTGCACACGATACGGTCCCTTCCACTTTGGTGCCAACTTTCCATCGGTAGCTTTCGGTCGAAAGTCACGCTTCAACACTAAACTCCCAACCACAATGCCGTGTGGGCGCATCTTCTTGTTGTAGTACCGAGCCACTTGTGATTTCATGGCCTCCAGGCGCAGAGCAGCGCTCTCGCGGCGTTCGTCCAGGAGATCCAACTCGTTGATTCGCTCCTGCGCCTCCATCGACTCGTCCCTATGCGCCATCCGAAAAGTCGGGATACGCACCTCCACGGGCAACACCGCCTCGCTCCCATACGTAAGCGCAAAGGGCGTATCACCTGTTGCAACTTTGAAAGTGGTTCTATGCGCCCATAAGACGCTTGGGAGTTCTTCCACCCAGTTTCCCTTGGCCTCGGTGAGCCTGGTATGTAGTCCATGTAAAATGCTTTTGTTAGCCGCCTCAGCTTGCCCATTTGCTTGTGGGTAAGCCACGGAGGAGAACCTTAAGACCACCCCATTTTCGTCACAAAAGTCGATGAACTTCTTGCAATCGAACTGCTTGCCGTGGTCGGTGATGATCGACTCTGGCAGTCCAAACCTTGTAAAAATGTTCTTCCTTGTAAACTTCCGCACCTGCACTTCCGTGATTGATGCCAATGGTTCCGCCTCAATCCACTTCGTAAAGTAATCGATAGCCACAATTAAGTATTTGAACTGCCCGGGCGCCTTTGGGAAGGGTCCTAGTAGGTCCATCCCCCATTGAGCAAATGGCCAGGCGCTTACGTTTCCCTGCATGGGCGCCCCTGGCACATGTATGTCGTTGGCATGGATTTGACATTGATGGCACCCGGCCACATGCTTCCCAGCGTCAGCTCTCATTGTCGGCCAATAATATCCCTGCCTTAACAACACCTTCTCCAGGCTCCGAGCCCCTGCGTGCATGCCACACGTTCCTTGGTGGACTTCCGCAATGGCCTCTTGTCCTTCAGCTTCTGTGAGGCACCGAAGATAGGTGCCGGAGTGAGACCTCTTATATAGCACTCCCTCCATGATGACACATCGCGCTGCCTTCCTTCTCAAGCGCCAAGCCTCTTTCGGGTCCTCCGGGACCACCCCTTGCTTTAGGAACAACATAATGGGCGCCATCCACCCATCCGATGCCTCTCCGAGGAAATTCGCCATCACCCTTTCCTCTCGTGGGGCCTCTTTGGTAACTATCACCTTTCTTTCCTCTCCAAAGTCCAGCGCCGTGGCCAACTTCGATAGGGCGTCTGCATGGGCATTCTCTTCTCTTGGGATATGTGTGAAGGTCACCTCCCGAAACCACGCACACTTTTCTTTGACGGCACGGACGTACACGCTTAGCGCCTCCTCCTTGACCTCATATACATCGTTCAACTGATTGACCACCAGCGCTGAGTCGGTTTGGACACTAACCTTCTGGGCGCCTAGCTCCCTTGCCATGTGAAGCCCTGCTAACACAGCTTCATACTCCGCCGCATTGTTCGTCTTAAGTGTTGCGAATCGTAGGGCAACTTCATGCATGGCGCCCAGGGGGCTAATGAGCACGATACCAGCTCCTGCACCGGATCTACTTGCGGCTCCATCCACCTGAACTTGCCAACACTCTTCCACACCACTCCCCATATCAACTACTCCTTCAGCCACAAAATCAGCCAACACTTGAGCCTTTATGGCTGGTCGGGGCGCATAGCTGACGTCGAATTCGCTCAGCTGAACAGCCCACTTAACCAGACGCCCAGACACATCCATGGACCCCAAAACCGTTCGGAGAGGTAAGTTTGTGAGCACGATGATGCTATGAGCCTGGAAGTAGGGCCTGAGTTTGTTTGCCGCCATTACCACCGCCAGCGCCGCTTTCTCAATGGGCGCATACCGCGTTTCATGCATCGCCATGGTACGACTTACATAGTACACCGGTCGTTCCTCATTCGTCGAAGGATCTTTAGACACCAACACCGCACTCACAGCAATTCGGGAGACCGCAATGTACAAATATAAAGTCTCTTTAGGCCTGGGCGCCGTCATCACCGTAGGCGCGACCAGCAACTTCTTCAGATCTCCGAACGCCTCATCACACTCCTCCGTCCACTTAAATTTGCTAGCCTTCTTCAATGTTCGGAAGAAAGGGGCGCCCCTATCCGAGGACCTCGGAATGAAGCGCCCAAGCGCTGCCAACCTTCCCGTCAATCCCTGCACCTCCTTCGGTGTTCGGGGAGGCGCCAACCTCATAATTGCTTCAACTTGCTTGGGATTGGCCTCGATTCCTCTCTTCGTGATCATGAATCCCAAAAACTTGCCAGCCTCCGCAAGGAACACACACTTCTGTGGGTTTAGACGTAGCTTATACGAGCGCATAGTCTCAAATGTCTCACGCAAGTCCATGATGTGGTCCTGGCGCCTCTTACTCTTCACAATCAAATCGTCGACGTATGCCTCCACATTCCTTCCCAACTGCCTCCTAAAGATTTGATTCACCATACGCTGATACGTGGCACCCGCATTCTTCAACCCAAATGCCATCACCTTATAGCAGAAGTTACCAAAGGGCGTCATGAAGGCGGTCTTCGCTCTGTCCTCATCCACCATGGGAATCTGATGATACCCCGAAAACATATCAAGGAAGCTGAGCGCCTCGTGGTAAGCCGTGGCTTCCACTAATATATCAATGCGAGGCATGGGGTAGGCGTCTGTTGGGCACGCCCGATTAAGGTTTGTGAAGTCTACACACATCCTCCAATCTCCCGACGGCTTTGGGACGAACACTACATTCGATAGCCATGTGATGTATCTGGCTTCTTCAACGAACCCAGCCTCGAGCAACTTATCGACTTCCTTCCTTAGAGCTTCTTCCTTCTCTTGGGTCAAGTTCCTTCGCTTTTGTTGGACGGGCTTCTTTCCCTCCTCGACGGCCAATCGATGCGCCGCCACATTTGGTGACACTCCCGGCATGTCCTGGGGGCTCCAAGCGAATAGCTCCCCAAATTCTCGCAACAATTCGATCAAGGGCGCCCTCATGTGTTCAGGAGCCTGTGCTGACACTCGTACCTGCCTGTCCAGGCGCCCTACTTCGATCGGTACCATGAACTCATCATCCATAGGCTCTGCTCTAGGCGCGTCCTCCGATCGAACGTCTATGTTGTTTACCCGGTGTCTTCGTGCGCTCTTCCTTTTTCCTTCCTCTTCTCGAGCATAGCGGGGGGCGCATTCTCCTCGTGAAATTCCTATGCCTTGTGGGGCAACGAACTTCAATGTTTGGTGGCAAGTCGAAGCTACCCCATTGAATAACGCCAACAGTGGTCTTCCCAGTATGACATTGTACGGCGAGGGGCAATCCACTATCCCAAACTCCACGGCATGTGTCACTCGGTGTACTTCGTCGCCCAATGTTACCGGAAGGCGCACACGCCCGATCACATGGGCAGGCGCTCCCGAAAACCCTATCAGCACCGAATCGGAGGGGCTCACCAACTCCGGCGCCAGCTGCATGCGCTCGAACGTGCTTTTGAACAAAACATCCATCGAACTTCCCGTATCCACCAACATCCTCTTGACCTTACACCCTGCAATGATTCCCTGGATCTCCAAAGCTTCCTCCGAAGGCACCTGACATGCTTCTTCCGCCTCCTGATTAAAGCATATTTGCACCGCCGCCTTCGCCTCCACAGATGCGGCCCGGAGGCGCCTAGACCGGTCCAACTTGTCCCGCAAATCGACGGTTCCGGTTATGGATTCCACCGTGAGCCTAACCCGGTTGGGTTCTCCTTCCTGATTCAACTCGAATGGAGGCGGGGGTATTTCAAGTAGAGGAGGGTGGGCCTCCAGCGCTGGGAGGTTACCAGGCGCCTGTTGTACGACGGGAGGAGTGGGCGCCTTAGGTCCAGCCACCACAGCAGGCGCTGGCCTCGTCTCTCTTGTGACATACGCGCGGTGCGTCCTCTCTTCCGTCTTTCTTATGAAGTCGTTGAGCATTCCTCGATCAGCTAACGTCTGCAACTCCGATTTCAGTTGGTAGCAATCGGCCGTGTGATGTCCCTTATCCCGGTGAAAGTCACAATATCGATCAAGGTTCCGCTCGTTTGGTTGTCCCCGCATAGGTCCCGGCCAGCGCACATGGTATCCTCTGTCCTTCACGTATTGCAGAATGTTTTTCAGAGAGTCGTTGTATTCCGTGAAATTTCCCGCACTCCTGGGTGGTGGGCGCTGACCATCCATCCTCCTTGGTGGAGCGTTGTTCATAATGAATGGCCTAGGCGCCTGGCGCATCTCCACTTCTTCTCTACCAACACGCCTTTTCTCTGCCCTCCTCGCGGCCAACGTTTCCTCCAAGGCAATAACCTTCTGAACCCTTCGATCCAGATCTTCAGTTGACACTACCGCCCTCTTAGACAACACACGACACAACTCCTCACTATTTGTGCACTCCTCCAGACACACTCCCAGGACTGGCGGTTGCACATCTTTCACGGCCATGGCGACCGAAATCCAGCGGTCATAGAATTCTCTAAGCGCCTCCCCCTCTCTCTGCTTGATTTTAAACAAAGCGCCTATAGTCAACGTCCGCCTCTTACGGCTGGCAAATTTGGACAAGAATAGCTCTGCAAATTGCTCAAAGCACTCTATGCGCCCCTCCTCCAACTGATGATACCAATCCAAAACTACCCCTGCGAACGTCGAAGGGAACACCTTACACAACGTGGCATCCGTGCTATTGTACAATTGCATCTTCGTGAAATAGCTATTCAGATGATCTTCTGGGTCAGTGACTCCATCATAGCTGGTCAGCGGTGGGAGTGTAGTTCCTGCTGGCTCCATTAACACACTTTGCGCCAAGGGTTGTCTGATCCCGAAGCGCCTGGCCTGACGTTTGGGCGTCCATGGGTTCTGTTCTTCCGGCACTGGGATGGTCCACTCGCCTGGCGCCCTCCACGCGCCCGGGCGCCTGGGTGGTGTTACCTCAGGATTAATACCCTCATAGCTCGGGCGCCCATACTCGCTAACCTCCGAATCATCCATGAGCCTGTCCCTCTTCCTCACTGGGGGGCTGTACTCCCTTGTATCAACGCTCCTTCCTCCTTCCAATTCCCTCCGAAGCATTGCTATCGCTCGATCTTGGTCAGCAATAATCTTGAACAGCTCCCTCTTTGACACCGAATCACTCTCCATAGACGGGCGCTCGCGGCTCTCGTCCTCCACGTCCATGCTCACTATCGGGCTTGACCTCCGCTCACTCCCCTCCGGACTGGAATTCTCCGTTCTCGCATCCTCGGCGCCTACACTTCCAACATTCAAGTCCTCCATCCTTTCTATCTTGCCGAGCGCCCCCTTCCTGGCGCGCCAATTGTTGAAGCCCGGATACTCCCTCTTCCACGTGTCACTTCTCGCTGCCCCACGCCGAGCGCTTGGACCCTGCAGGACGGGCGCCTAGAGGGCTACCCCCGTCCGTTAGCACTCCAACGATCAAGTCAGGTGCAACTCTAGAGAGAGAAGTGAAGAAAGAAGTTTAGTGTGAGAAAGACCAACCTGCTTAAATGCTACCTACCAAGTGCTATTTATACTACTTGAGCTTCTCGACCAAGCTCCGACCAACTCCTGCCACCAAGGCTTATGTCAGCCTAGCATTAAATGCTTGGTCTCCCCTGGCGCCTACGCGCCTACACGTGGCATACCGCCCATTTTCCACGTCGGGGCGCATAGGGGGACCACCTGCTTCGTGGCGCCCTCCTGAGCTTGTCCACCTGTACTCCCTTGTCTGCGAGCCTATTTTGTCGCCATGCACCCCTGCTCCTTTGTAACCACTTGGATCATACTCTTATGGGCCATAGATAGGCTTCGGGCCCAACAGACTCTTAACTTTTATGAGCACCTTTCCCCTATCTCAATAAGGCCCATTAGGCTTTTAACTATCATGGGCTCCTCTCTACTACCCCAACAATAATTTTGATAAAAAATACAAATATAAAAGAAGACGAGAATGATAGAAAGATTATATAGAACCGGAAGAAAAGGATTTACTCTTTCTATCGTGCTCTAGCAGATTGAGGAGTTTCTTTCTTTTAGTGAGAAGTCATTCCTTCACTTCCAACAATGATAGGGGCAAATTAAGCCTTATTAGACACGGGCATGAGCTTGATATTATTGCCCGTGAAGACTACTAAGCAACTAACTCCATATATAAGCTCACCTTATCTCATAAAACGAAATTTACATATGGGTCTTATCAGCTTTCACAAACTTTGTTTAAGCTCGGTAGGAGCTACTTTATGAAATCGATAATAAGCTCTAAACGAACCGATCCATGCCGCATACCTCCACGGCCATCGTGAACGATCATGATTCAAAGCTATAACCAGCAGCTGACAGTCGGAATGGACCGTGCACTCATATTCATATTCTTAAGCTAATTTCATTCCTTTAAGAAGGACCTTAGTTTCTGTGCTTCAATCGGGGTGAAACAAAAGAGATACTCAACTCGCTCATCACACACTTGTCCATTGTGGTTAACAACACAACACCATAAGCCCATCACACTTGTCCACGGTTTCATGTAAATGAGACTGTTTTGGACCTTTTTTTTTACAAAAAATAATCTTATATTGACCAAACAAATAGGTAGTTACACCCTGGAGTTCATCCAGGCCTCAAGGGTCAGAGGGAAGAGAAGGGGAATGAGGGGCAGGAAGGACCCTGTCCTTTGGTAGATTAACTCATTCCTGTACCTGCTGGTTCAATTGTCGTATCAAAGCAGGGACCTTAAACTGCTTGCCATAAAAAACAACCCAGTTACGAGAGCTTCAGATCCGCCGGAGGACGACAACAACCGTCATTAGCACAGGGGGCTGATGGACCAAGGCCAATAATTTCTTCAGAAAGAGAGAGAAAGTGTGACGCGGCAGCCCTTCTAGGGATGGCAATGGGTCGGGGACGGATAGTGCATATCCGTTACCCTACCCAAAGTAGTTCGGGGTTTACCCATACCCACATAAGAAACGAGTAGAAAATCCAAATCATGCCCATACCCGTTCGGGTTTCGGGTATCCACGGTTAACCATGGGTAATGGTTTCTCTTTATAACTTCAACCAATATAATAATATTCACACGTATTCTCACGTTACGTTAGACGAAAAGTACGACAATTGTTCATTAGAATGAACAAAATTAATTAAAACAACACAATTCCAAAAAAATATTATATTTATATGCTAAACAAAAAATATGTTAGAGAAAAATATTGATTATTTCTAGACAAATACATATGCACGTGTATAATCGGGCGGGTTCGGGTTGGATAGTGAGAAAATCATGCCCACCCATTACCCGCAATATTCGGGTTCGGGTTTTACCCATACCCATTAAAAGTCATTCGGGTTCGGGTTTTACCCTACCCGATTAGGTCGGATATCCACGATTACGGATATTTTTGCCATCCCTAAGCCCTTCTCCAAGGTGAGCTAACCCAAAATGATCCCAAAAGGCACAAGCAACCGGACAGTCCAGAAACAGATGTTCCAAAGTTTTCGATGCTGCCCAACACACAAGACATCTAGGTAGCACTGCAACCTTCTTCTCAATCAGGGCCTCCGTGGTAGGTAAAATTCTATGGAAGATCTGCCAGACGAACACTTTCAGCTTGGGGGGATATTAGCATCCCATAATCGAATCCAGCTATCTCTATCCATCCAGCTTTCCATCTCCTGTGTTGTCGGTCAAGATTGACCGCCAAATGATAGACCGATTTAACCGTAAAAACCCCATATGCAGTCCCTTGCCAAATTATTTTATCCTCAATGCTCAGACGAGGCAGTGGGATGGCCCGAATGTTTCGACAAGTCTGAGGATGGAACCACAGGCTTAGCTTACGATTACACCACTTACCTTCCCCTTTGCTGAATAACCTCTGCTACCTTCAACACCTCCCCTCCGGAATAACACATTACACATGGGTTATACACAGGGGGTAGGGGATGTTGAAGAGATATCTAGCTAGAGGAGAGTAGAGGAGCCTTCTGGCCATTGCCAAACTGTCATCAAAGACCTGTTTCCAACAACTGACGACCAAAAAGGATACTCTGTCATCCCCAGAATGGACGAGAGCAGGCTATCACCGTAAGAAACGATCCATTAGTGAAATATTTTCCTTTACACACCTAAGCAAGGAGGGATTTAGGCACATTTAGGCCCTGTTCACTTTCATTTTCGTTTCCTGTTTTTTGTTTTCATGTCATAAATTTGGTAACCGAAATGAGAAAACTTGTTTACTTTTCATTTCGTTTTCTATTCGTTTCCAACTATGAAAACAGAAAGTGGCAACTTCCTGCTGTTTTCGGAAACGACAAAATGTTGTTTTCACCTGTTTTCAACATCTGTTTTCTCAAAAACAGGAAACAGAAATGAAAGTAAACAGGCCCTAAGGATATCCGTATTGGAAAATAAAACGCTAGAGACAGCTTAGTCGGCTGATGGGCGACACATGACAGTAGGAATTGACTCCAGGGTTTTCGTCACCAGTCAGCGCCGAAAATTGGACTGATGACCTTAGCACACAGTCCAAGCCAGTCAGTCCGTCAGTCCCCGGCGAATTAAAACGCTTCAGCTTCCACCTATCGCTTTCCCTGCCGCGGGAGAGAGAAGTCGGGGGTAGGGATGCTGCTGCCGCCGCCGCCACAGCTCCCTACCCCAAGGCCATTCCCGCCTCCACGCCACCGCTTCGTAATCAGAGAATCTCATCATCCCGGGAATCCAACAGTCACCCCCAATTCCCAACTCACCGGAAATCGAATTCCAATATTCCATCGTTAATACCCTTTTCCCTCTTTCTTCCTAGCATAAAGCCTCTGGTCCTCCTTCTCCTGCTTAGGCTTGTACCCACCAACACTAATATCATATGGAAGCTGTTCCCATGGACATTGATGCTCCTCCTGATCATGATGACCCTTCTCTTCCCTTCGCCAGAAGGTAAAAAAAGAACAGATATTTGTGCCCAATATATTTGTTTTTGTGTTAATGTGGGTGAAAGAAAGAAGACTGCTTTTTTGAACATTTTGCATTCTTCTGTGCTAGTTATCAACTGGAGGCACTCCAAGTGGCGATCAGGCAGAACACCATATCCTTCTTGGAAACTGGGTCTGGCAAAACCCTCGTGGCAATCATGCTTCTTCGTCACTATGCACCCTTTCTGCGAAAGCCTTCTCCTTTCATCGCCGTGTTCTTGGTTCCTCAAGTCGTTCTGGTCCGGCAGGTAATATCTGCAACTCTGCAATCTTCCCTTCTGCACTTCTCTTGACAAACTTGGTAATTAACTAGCTAACCATGTGGTATTGTGGGTGATCGTAGCAAGCTGAGGCTGTTAAAGCCCACGGTGACTTGAAAGTGGGCACTTATTGGGGTGAGATGGGAGTGGACTTCTGGGATGCAGCTATTTGGAAGCAAGAAATTGACAAACATGAGGTGATGACTCATTTCAAGCTTTGCCTTGTTTTTTTGTAAACTTTTTCCTCTGTTTTGTTCTTCCAATTCTGATCGGCTTCCCTCAATCTTGAAGGTACTAGTGATGACCCCGCAAATTCTGCTGAATTGCTTGAGACATAGCTTTTTCAAACTCGAGTTTATCAAGGTTTTGATATTTGATGAATGCCATCACACTGGTGGTAAGCATCCTTACGCCTGCATCATGACGGTAAGATATCTTCCACGTTTAACAACAAGCTTTCAGCTTTGGAATTTAGGTCTACATTTTCTCAAATGTGATTACATTTGCAGGAATTCTATCACAAGTTGGCCTGCAAAGCTTGTGACCTTCCAAGGATATTTGGGATGACAGCTTCTCTTATCAAATCAAAATGTATGCTTTTCAGAGGTTTCTCTTGCCAGTGTCCATCACTTTGTTACATTATTAACCTTGAAATCTTGTGTGCATGATTGATCTTCCAGGTGGAACATCCGAATCAGAGTACTGGGAAAAGATTAAAAAACTAGAAACAATAATGCATTCAAAGGTTTCTCTCAGATTCTGGTTGACATAATTCTTTGTATTTTTTGTTTTTGAAATGATTGGAGTATGATATTCAAGGCTGATAAGTTACCAGGAGTGATAGAAGGAATTGCATGTATGGTAGCAGTTCATTTTTCTTGATTAATGCTGACTGTTTAATTTTTTTTTTTGCACTGAAGGTTTACACTTGTGTTAGTGAGTCTGCTATTTCAAAATACGTACCAATTTCAACTCCCAAATTAAGATTTTATGAAGCTTTAGATGTACCGGGTGATCTAGTTGCTCGCTTACGGTTTGGTCTAAACAACTTGAAAACAAAGGTGGGTTTCCACTTGTTGATGATGTTGATGTTTATTTAGTGTGATTTGGTGGTTCTAGGATGTTGACAACAGACATGCCGTTCCTTTCAGCATGAGAATTTATTGACTAAGATGGATCTTACTACAACTTCCTTGGAATCCACGAGGAAAAAACTGACTAGAACTTGTGAGGCATTGCTATATTGTTTAGACGACCTCGGCCTCATGTTGGCCTCCAAGGTACGGTAATCATTGTTCAATGTTGTTTTTTCATTTTGTGTTACTGTCCCTGAACTACAACATGGTTACCGTTGTTAATAATCTGTCACAGGCTGCCAAACTCCTGTCTAGTTGTGATAGTGATGGTATGCTATCGGATAAACTGGATGTCTTTGGTGAGCGAGTTGTTAAAAAGTTCAGTGCAGATGCGTCAATGGTATTTAAAAGCTGCATTTCGACCGGTAATTACTTCCCGAACTGTTTAATAGGAGAGTCTTGAATTCAGGTTCTTTTTGCTTGTTTGAGTCGTTTCCCTATTCATGTTTTATTTATGCGGACTATTTGTCTCCAGAATGGACCCTTGGTGGAGATGCAAGAGCTCATGTCAAGTCTGGATTTCTAACTTCCAAAGTGGCTTATCTCATTCAGTGTCTACTGGACTACAGGTGGGAGTTTATTTATGATCTCACTTTTAATTTAATCATATCTTGAAACTTGCCTCTAATTTGGTTGCTAAATCAGATAATCTTAAGATTTTATTTAAGTTCGCTTTGTGTTGATTTTGTTCTCATTCTTTTGTATGTTAGCTAGCCCTGTATTGATGAATTTTATTCATTTGGTTAAAAGCAGGAATTTCAAGGATATCAGATGCATTGTTTTTGTAGAAAGGGTCATTACAGCTATCGTTCTTCAATCACTATTGAGTGAAATTCTTCCTGAACATGTTAGTTGGAAGACTATGTACATAGCAGGTAACAACTCAGGGTTACAAACTCAGACAAGAAAAACACAAAATGAAATCGTCGAAGAATTTCGCAAAGGCATGGTATATATTATACGCCCTTCTATTGTATACAATAGATTGGTTTTTCTTCTTTTCTTTTCTCTTGTTTGTTTTCTTTTGTCATGTTTTTTTTTTTGTTTTGTTTTGAATGCTCAAGTTTATCTGTTGGATGATATTTTCAGGTAAATATAATTGTTGCTACCTCAATTCTTGAGGAAGGTTTGGATGTCCAAAGCTGCAACTTAGTGATTAGATTTGATCCCTCTGCTACTGTGAGTAGCTTTATCCAGTCACGTGGTCGTGCTAGAATGGAGAACTCGGATTACGTGCTAATGCTCAGAAGGCATCCCCCACTTAACACTTCTCTTCATAATAATATCAGTTAGTTAGAAAATGTTCAGTTTCTTCAATTCTTCACAAGTGATTGTTCTTTAAATTTATTATGCAGTGGCGACATTTCTGGACAATGCCGCCTAGAGAAGTATCTTTCTAGTGGAGAGATAATGCGAAGTGAGTCACTTCGACATGCTTCAAATCCTTGTCCTCCTCTTGGAAGTGAATTCTACGACGAAGAGATTTATCGGGTTGAAAGCACTGGTGCGGTTGTGACTTCCACATCTAGCATTTGCTTGATACACTTCTATTGCTCTCGACTTCCTTCCGATGGGTTAGTTATTAACTAATTTAGTTCTTAATTATGGTAAGCTTGAGATCCCATGCGTCTAAAATTTAAATAGTATGCTATTGTTTTAGGTACTTCAAACCAGCTCCCCACTTTGTTATAGACAAGGAAACAAGCCGTTGCACACTTTACCTTCCAAAAAGTTGCCCACTGCCACTTGTTTCTGTTGAAGGAGACATTAAGTCACTGAAGCAGAAAGCATGTTTGCAAGCGTGTATGATGCTCCATAAGATTGGTTCATTAACCGATTATCTTGTTCCAGATACCGTTGCAGAAAAATTGGATGATCGAGGACTTGGTGAGTCGCTTTCATTCATAATATTTTTGACTACTTTGTCTTCAGGCGATTAGTAATTTATATGTTGTTTAAATATCCAGAAGCTATTCTGCAACTCTTGATGTTTCTCATTACCTTCCTTGATGACAGGCGAAGAATGCTATGATGATGAATTTCCTGTTTACTTTCCACCGGAGGCTGTGCGTAGCCATGAGAGCTGCAGTCAGCCTGGAAGCAAAAAATATTACTGCTATTTGATTAAACTTTGTCCCCAATATGAAAGTCGGACTGCTGTGCAGGATATTGTCCTTGTCATGTGCAGTGAACTTGAGACGGAGATTGTAAATTCAAATTTCAATTTAGAAGATGTTAGAGGTTCACTGAAAGCTACCTTGAGCTACATGGGATTTCTGGATCTTACACCAATGCTGGTATGCCAAATTTATCTCCAAGGTCACTTCCTTAATTGTGGGTCTAACTAGATTTTTGTCCTTTTGGCTTTCTACTATGTGGTTGTAGGTTAATCTGTGCAGGATGTTCCAGATCACTGTTTGTAATGTTCTTATACATCATAGCTTGGATAAGCTGAAAGGAAAAATCCAAGCATTGAAGCATTGTGATCATCTGGATTATTTTGTGCTACCAGCTACTGCTTCAGCACAAAAAGCCAGCATCGATTGGACATGTGTTAGATCTGTACTGTTTTCATATAAACAGGCATGGGAGGATCATAAGAAGTACCCATTGCAGTGCAATGGTGCTGGTGTGATTGTAACGACAAAGGACGGACCAGCATGCAAATGCATGCTTCAGAATTCATTGGTTTACACCCCTCATAACAGAAAACTGTATTCTACACTTGGTATATCGGATAAATTGTCTGGAAATTCCTTCTTGAGCATGCATGATGGAGCAAGTGTCACTTACAAGGACTACTATAAATTCCGGTGAGAAAATTTTCCTTGTTATTCATGTGACACCTTTCATCATTCTGCCATATGACACTTTGAGGGCAACTAATTTGGATGTTTTCAGGCATGGCATTAAGTTAGACTCTAGCCACCAGCCATTACTACATGCAAGGCAGATATTTCCAGTCCATAATTGCCTTCTTAGATGTAAACAACAACGAAAAGAAAAAGGTCCTGCTTCTTTGACCATTTCCCACTGTTTACGGCAGTATAATGCGTTAAGAGGGATACGTAGGTCTTATCTAATTTCAATCCCTCATATTCCTGTACTATCTGTTTGCAGAATCAGGAAATGCCTATGTAGACCTGCCCCCTGAGCTATGTTGCATACTTATGTCGCCAATATCTATTAGTACCTTTTATTCCTTCACATTCATTCCATCAATTATGCATCGTCTCGAGTCTTTGTTGATTGCTTTTAACTTGAAGAAGATGCATTTGCATAGCGGACATAATGTTGATGTTCCGTTAGAGAAGGTAACTTGCATTTCCTAATTGAATCAAAACTAATGATAGCTTGTTTTTACCTTCTTTTTTTTCTTCCTCTCTGTATTGATATTTCATCGAGTTTTCTGGCAACTGAGGTAATTAATATCAACTTTCCATGGTAGGTTCTGGAAGCAATTACTACGAAGCAATGCCAGGAGAAATTTCACTTGGAATCATTAGAGACTCTTGGAGATTCTTTTCTCAAGTATGCTGCCTGTCAGCAATTGTTCAAGACCTACCACAGTCACCATGAGGGCCTTCTGAGTATCAAGAAGGACAAAATTGTGTCTAATGCCTCGCTTTTCAAGCTAGGATATGACATCAAACTTCCGGTAACTAATTCATTCCATGTACTCCCTCACTTTATGTCTCTGCTGTATACAGCTTGTGATATCGTGCTTCCTACTTATTTGAGCTACCCATGATGGTAGTCGCATTCATCATTCTTCAACTAAATTTGCAGGGGTTTATTCGCGATGCACCTTTTGATCCTAAAACGTGGATGATTCCTGGTTTCAATAAGGACGAGTACTCTTTAGGCGAAGAGGTACTACCGAATGCTAGAAAAGTTTTCGTGTCGGGAACGAGGAAGTTGAAAAGTAAGAGAGTGGCGGATGTTGTGGAGGCCCTTATTGGCGCTTACTTGAGTACAGGTGGTGAAACAGCAAGCTTACTGTTTATGGACTGGATTGGTATAAAGGTAGAGTTCAACAATAGTGTTACAAGTGAGAGGCAATTACAGGTGGATCCTGAGAAGCTTGTAAATATACGTCATTTGGAGTCTCTATTGAACTATTCCTTCAATGACCGATCGCTTCTTGTGGAAGCATTGACTCATGGTTCCTACATGCTTCCTGAGATCCCAAGATGTTACCAGGTTTATTCACAACTTTTTTCCTGACAGTCAATGATTGCAATTTCTTAGACACTATAATAGCTTCTTTGTTCTGCTGCTAAATGATCATGTTGCTGCTAAATGTTGCTCCCCAGAGGCTGGAATTCCTTGGCGACTCGGTCTTGGACTATCTCATCACCGTGCATTTATACAAGAAGTATCCTGATATTTCGCCAGGCTTATTGACAGACATGAGATCAGCTTCCGTGAACAATGAATGTTATGCTCAATCAGCTATTAAGAACGGGTTGCATAAGCACATACTCCATGCATCACAGAGACTCCACAAGGACATAAGTCGCTGCATTTCGAACTTAAATGAAGTGCCTTCAGGGCCAAGTTTCGGTTGGGAATCCGAGACTTCTTGTCCCAAGGTTAGTCATTCCTGACCCTGAGCTTTCCTTCATCATATTCTGTTATTCCTTTTTGGTCACTGGCCATGCTTATAAACCATTAGTGCATTCTCGGTGCTGAACTGATCAGTACTTGTTCTTCGTCATTAGGTTCTTGGAGATATCATAGAGTCTTTGGCTGGGGCTATACTAGTTGATTCAGGATACAACAAGGAGGTAGTTTTCCGGAGTATAACGCCATTGTTGGAGCCATTAGTCACTCCAGAAACACTCAGGCTAGAGCCTGTGAGGGAGCTGAACGAATTCTGTCAAAGAGAGCAATTTGTGCTGAAGACGCCTGTTGTCTCCCGCGATGATGGTTTAACGTCCATCACGATTCAGGTGGAAGCTGATGGTGCCATATTCACGCACACATCAGCTGCCGCCGATAAGAAGATGGCGAAAAGACTAGCTTCCAAGGAAGTACTGAAGGCTCTGAAGGGAATTGGCGCTCGCCTTCATGGTGAATGACGAGGCTTCTGGGTTTGAGTTGCACTGCTTGATGTTAACTACAATTAAGCAATTTACATCTGATTCTTGCCATTGTATCCACCATTTTTGTCAACAACTCATCAATTGCTTTGATTAATTGAAACATGGGCACTTAATCCTCTAGGTTTGGCAAGTTGACTGGAACAACTTAATTTAATAAGTGAAGTCAACTTAATTTGACAAGTGAAAGTTTAATAATCTGTGTTTCGTGTGGTCACTTAATTTGACAACAGAATTACAACCACAACACCATCAAACGAAAAACATAAACGTGTGCAGTTGGTAGTTTTGAGAAATTATGTAACTTGAGAATTTTATGTGTTTAACTACTTCATTATGCAACTTATAAGATGTGAAGCTAAAACTGTCAAGAGAAAACACATCTCCTAAACGCCTTCTGTTCATCATAACGCGTTGTAAAAAAATCAAGCTTGAACAGGGAGCAGACCAGTTTAAACACTGATAATGAACACTACACAACAAGCCTCGCAACAGATGCTTAGATAGATGCCTACACCGTACGCAAACAACACAAAATGCAATGGATGAAATCAATATAACCTTTCATCCAGTGCTAACATGGTGTTCTGAGCCTTGGATGAAGCCTTTTACTACAGACATGCAGCCACAGAGATGCTTCTTATACACAAGTGAACGAACCGTGCTGATCCACCAAAATGCACGACGCCATAACAGCAGGCAGGAAGATACCCTTTTACTAACATGATTTCATGCTTATATTTGACACAAGCCACCAGAAATTGGTTCACTTTGGCCAACTAATCTATGCCTGGTAGCTGCAGATTTGCTATACGATACGAGTCCAGATTCGCTAATCCTCTGAACATGGCAATCTTAACTACTTGAGGGGTCAAATACAAAATCATCACAGCATTATACATGAGACCATTACAGACTAATGTGTTATTCGAATTTCACGACAGAATGTGCACAAGGCATGACCATCACTCCATCAGGATAACTTGCAACCAATCATATACATTATACAGCATATCTATGCCAAATTCACTTCTGGTTAGCAAGGCATTAGATTCAGTATTCCAATTTGAGAAAGAGTAACTCACAGAGCAAAAAGCAACCGAGACCCAGCTCAACACAGACACAACACAACAAAATCAAGGTTGTCAATGGAAGTGAATCATGTGAAAATAAACCATACACATCCACAATATCAGTAGCACAAAAATGGACCTTCAGGCTTCACAAAGTCTCCACTTTTCCAATATTATGCAGAGTGTACACACAGGCAAGGTTCGAATATAAGACGCTCCAGAACGAACTCAATTCGCAGTCATGGTTAAACAAAAGATCAAACAGAACCAAATTGTTTTCAGATCAAAGCCCTTGTCTTTTTTTATTTCTTAGCGTTCCCTTTACCTCCGGAAGATTCCCCTCCGGCGGCCTGCGCCGCTTTCTTGGCCGTCTTCTCCTGCAGCGCCTTGGCGTCCCTGAGCACAGAAAAGCAGAACCCAGAAATTCAGAATCCCTACAAGCAGCTCGAAAAAAAAGGGAATTGGAAAAGCTTAAAACGAAGGATTGGAAGGAGAAGGGGAAGAGAAAGACCTCTCGCGGCGCTGTTCAGGGGTCAAGCCATCATCTTTGCCCTTGGCGCCCTTGCCGCCGCGAGACTGAGCTCTTTCGCGATCCTTCTCCCTCTGATTTCCGCGTGGAGGATCAAACCAAAACAGAGTCAAGGAGACACAAAAGCAGGACCAATTGAGAGAATGAATGAATGAAACAATTGCAAACTCGTTAGATCTGAAAGCTAAGAGAGATTGGAGGAGAACGACATGAGAAGAAGAAGAAAAAGGATATGAGTCATGGCGAGGAAGCTGCGATTGGAGCGCTGAGAGAGACTGGGGAACTGGGAAGAGATTAGATTCGAGCGATTGGTTTGGTGGTGGTGGCTATGGCTGCCAGGGCAGACGACGAGATCGGAGACTTATTATTAGCTACGGCGAAAGTCAAAAGGGGAAAATATAACTGGAAGAGGAATCCTATTTTCGCTGTATTTCCCCCTTTGTTTTGCCATTTTGGAGAGGAATCCTATTCACTTTGTAATAATGCGGATTCGTATTTTATTTTGGATTTTCAGTTGCAAAAAATAATTTGTGAAAGACCCATTTTCATTTATTATTGTAAATATGTTGGCTTATTTCAGGCATATTATTCAAGGGGTTCTTTGTCAACAATCCATGAATCCACATATGATGACCCAGGATCCAATATAGATGAAAATTGTACCCAATCCTGAAGTAAATGTAGTGGTGCTACTTGTTTCACGATAGAGTGACACATAACAGAGAGTTTAATGACGCATACGGTATCTACACGTGGATAAACACGGCTCTAATTATAATGGGGATTCAAGTATCTAATTTTTCTCATTTTAAAAAAAGTTGCAACGAGGGTGATTCAATAATAGTTGAGTTAGAAAGTTTCATAATTAAAATTAAAAATAAATCAATTTCCAACCAACCACAACACTCCACCAGTCACACTCTCTCACATCCAGTTTCCTCTCTTAATAATCATAAATGATCTGAATCTTTTTTGTTGCGACTCAAATTTTATCCATTTTCACATGAAAAATATGATTTAATCTTATCTATAAACTAATACTCGACACTTTCATACACTTTGAAATAAAATATAAAATCACGACATTTTACCACTGTCATGTCATGTATTACAACTTGACATTTGTATATTGATGTTGTGCAATCTTACTATAGTGATAATAGCATGGTATAACTAGTGGTATACTCACATAAAGTGGTTTGTTCCTGTATCACAATACTGCATGACTACACCACCATGCAAGGCTATTAAATAGAATGGTCGATGGCGAAGAAGGGTTCAGTTCAACTTTGAGATTACATGTTCAAATTCCCGGGTGCACTCCTCCTTCCCCCGGAGACCCCCTTCAATAGCATGTGAAACAAAAGTAGTATAGGCAATGTTGTAAACAACAATCAACCAAATTTCATTCATGACGGAGGCACTAGCGTGAACGTCTAGACTACCTCTTGATATGTGCGATAATCGAAAAACTACATAGATTAAGTATGTTATGTATAAGAGTGATGGATAGGTAAAACACTTTCCTTTCTCATACCAAGCTTTTAGATTGATTGTACGAACTGTTTAACTTTTAATTTTATTCCATCACGTCATTTAATTTTCAGCTTACAAAAAATAAATATGGGTGTGCAACCCAATACCATATCGGATTCAATAAAAAATATCACATCGAAAAAATAAGTTAAAGGTTTCTTATATATTAGTGTCTACCTACCCCAATTAGTACAATTTTATTTGGAAAGGTACCCAAGACCAGATTCATATGACCTTGACTCAGAACAAACAATATCGTACTAATGTGCATGTCCGCTCTCAAATAATAAATCCAAATCCTTTTACATTTTATCAAAACAATAAATGGGATATCTCTTTTTTTGTCAACTATATATTTAGTTTACTAAAAAAACCAGATTTTTTTGGGGGTATATATGGGAAATGTATCCTACATAACCATAAATATTGGCCAGCTAATATGAACACAATCTAGATTTTGCTCCAACAGAATCCTTATAAATAGAGCTCTCATTACTCTATAAATTCAACAACATTGTGGCTAGTGGTATATATTGAGACTATTAGCACAAGTACTTATTCCCTCCCAAAAAACCAAACAGGTCTCAAATTAAATCCCAAAGTATGAAGACCTCCAACATCTTCCTCCTCTTCTTACTCGCATCTTTCGTTATCATAGGTAAATACCTCGGAATCTTATCCTCTTTTTTTTTTTACTATGACTTCACGATAGAACGGAGATATAATAGAGGTTCTAATGATGCTAATACGAAATCCAAGTGCACGCTGTATCGTACAATATGTATTTTCCTTCCAATCATCTAAAAAAAATAGCAAATTGTTATTATAATACAGGAAATATGGAAGTGGCTATGGCGACGAGAACGGTTGAAGAAAATGGAGGAAAAAAGTGCGAGAGAGGAAGTGTGGACATAGTGAATGGATGTGTTGATTCCGACTGCGACAACGGATGCAGGGTGAACTATGGGAGCACAGCTACTGGTGCATGCAAAACCAAGACTTTATGTGTTTGCTATGGCCCATGTTAAATTAATTAGTAGTATAAGTTACTATGGAGCTATATCGGGTGTGATACGAATCTTACCATAATGATACGATGTGTTTTTACCATAGTGATTGAATTTTGGAAGAGAAGTAATAGAGATAATCACGCTCCTAATTCATATCTCACAGTTCGTAACTATGATTTACTACACACATTTGCCATGGTCTAGGTCTTTGCAACACAAAGTACCGATAATAGGATTGCAACACCAACTGCAGAACGGAAACTTCCCTTCCGCTCGATAATTCGCCATTACGGCTGGCTGCCATTTTACTGTTGTTGCTGGTGTCGCGGCCACGGTCGTCGTCTCGAGAAATACATTTCTCGCTGCGCTACAAGGACGTTGTTGTATCACTACAGAAAAGAAGCGGAACACACGCTAAGAAGGCTGTTGGAATAAGTTGCTTGTGATTTTTTTTTTTTCCGACATGAAAGCCATGAATGATTAATATATAGTATATAGATGATGATCACGAAAAACATTCTAATGTGTACTTACAGATGATAACGGAAAATGTGAGTAAGAAAAGAAAGAAGATGTTGGAGATCTTTATACTTTGGGATTTGATTTGGAACATGTTTTTCTTTCCGTGAGAGAAGAAGTGCTCGTGCTGATAGCCTTGATCCCACCAGTCACAAATCACAATATTGTTGAATGCACATAGTCAAGAGAAATGAGAACTCTATTTATAAGAATTCCGTTTGAGGGCTCATATTAGCTTACCAATCATTAATATTCCATATATATGGGGAAAAAATCTGATTTTTAAGTAAACTAGTAATATATTTGACAAAAAATAAATCATTAATGGTGTAGTATGATACACTTTCCATATATAACAAAAATCTGATTTTTTAGTAAGCTAATAATATATTTGACAAAAAAGTTATAGTATTAATTATGGTTTTGGTATACATTCTTTTCAAACATAGTTAGTAAAATATGGTATAGATATGTTATGGTATTAAATACGTACATGTTTCATATAACATGTTTGAACTGACAATACCTAATATCCAAATCTATGCAATGTTTACAATCCATAAGATGAGATGATGATGATGTAAAATGCGTAAAAGGTAATAAGGAGGAATATAACTGAAAATATACCCTGTAACTATGTTGAATTCGGGGTCGTTTGGATATGGAAATGTAATGCAGTCATTGGACCCAATTACCATATAATGCAGTAATTGGGTTAAAAACCCATGTTTGGGAGAGCAAAAATGGTATGGAAATTGGCTTCAATTACCATATTCATGGTAATTGAGAATACTACACCTCCCCCTAGTAATTTGACATTACCACGTTTTCTTACTTCTTTTTCCAAATTCCACACCATCAATTCCCACAAAACTAAACCCTATCCAAACGTGAATTTTTTTTCCAATTTCCACAAGTCAATTCCTTGGTTTTGTACAACATGGAAATTCAGACAAATTTCAAACATTTTAGAATTTCCACATCCAAACGAAGTCTAATTCCTTTCTTTTCTCTGACTTTTTCCCGTGCATAATTGCCTTTCAGAATGAATGATTATTTTTGTGTAATTACCCCTTAGTATTAACAAGAATACAGCCAAATTTGAGAAATTATTTTTCAAATAATTAATAATGATTGAGTTTGCAGAAAGAAAGAATGAGAATTGTTGACTTAAGCATTTTATATTTCAATCTTGAAATTCAACCGAAGCGCGTGCATACAACTATACAAGCAGTGCGATGTGATTATAGTGTTGATCAACGCCTACTGAATGGGAAAAATGAAGGTCCCATTTCAAATTTGTCGCTCATCTACTATATATATAAAGCAGATTCATAACTCACGTCCATTTTGGATTTCTGGCTATGAGAATGAAGTTGTGCGATGTGATTACAGTGTTGATCAACACCTACTGAATGGGAAAACTGAAGGTCCCAATTCAAATTTGTGGCTCATAGACATAGAGACATTTTCAAGTACAAATATAGTGATCCATTTCAATTCTCATTGTCAAATTTGTCGCTCTTCCTGTCTTTGTGAGTTTGGTGGTTAATACACTATGCGTTTATGTATTTTAATTACATTGGATGGCCTCTATGGATATGTTGTTACTGTAGGGAAAGATAAATCCATCTTTTACCACCAAAAAGATTATTAGCAACGATTTGGAGTGTGGCGTACTCTCTAATAATGTATAAACAATTTATAAGATTCCAAATCATTTAAAATATGAATAACTGATTAACATAAACAGTAAAAGTAAAATAAAATTTATCCAACCTTCCGACCCAATAAGCCGGGTTAACGATAGTATTCAAATATAGTGAGATTGGTTTCATATTAGATGTTAAAAAATATAAGTTACCGACATTTTCTTTGTATAATTAATTTATTGATGGAACATTTATTTATAACTAAACAATTACAAAGGTGTCAGGACGTCTTAACGTTGGCAGTGGGTCCAACCTATGTTGGGGCAACACACATTACCGACGATAGGATTGCAGCACCAACTGCACCATGGAAACTTCCCATCTACATGATGATCTGCCGCACCAGCTGCCGTCTTCTCAAGAAACACATCTCTCGTTGCTGCTTGATAAGTACTGATCCTCGTTGCAATGACCACTTCATTTCCTATATAACAAAGAGAACATATTGTCAATAATAATACAAGTATGTAATGAATAAGGCTTTGTTCTAGCGGTACTATCGCTAGTTTTCAAACGAGAGATCTCATGGTTAGATTATAGGGCGAACCCCCTTCCCACAAATCCCCTTCAATAGCATGTAAAAGGAAAATGATTAAAGAACACATTATCAAAGAAAAACCATTCTAAAGTAATTACCGATGATGACGAAATATGTGACTATGAAGAGAAGGAACATGTTGGAGATCTTCATACTTTAAGATTTACTTTGGAACCTATTTTGTTTTTCAGAGAGAATAAATGCTTGTGCTGATAGCTTAATACCACTAGTTGAATTTACAGAGTCCTCGAAAACGAGAGATCTATTGGAACTAATTATAGACTATATATTAACTGACCAATAAATGTAGTTAGATACATTTTCCATATATACCGACAAAAATGAAATCTGGTTTTTAAGTAAGCTAATTAAATATTTGACAAAAAGAGATATAGCATTTATGGTTTATATAAATTGTTGCCCTGAGAAAAAGAGAAATGTGGAAGGGCAATCAATGGTTTAATTGATTGCGTGGATTTTATTTTTGGAACCAATTTTGGAACTATTTGTAATTAAAATCTATAACTGACTATTCATGTATCTATATACTTTATAAATTAATAGGGGTGAGTATTGAGTGGTCGAACACACAAATCCATCCATAATTGACAACCCATTATCGTGTGGGTGTGAGTAGTAAAATAGGTGATCCACCAAAGAATGGGTGAGTGTGGGTGGATTGTGGTTGATCCACAACCCACTCAAATTTTCATCTTCAAACTATCGAAGCTCTAAGATTTAGCTTTACCGAAAATGAAACCCTTATCACAAAAAAATCCTCTCAATTTCGATTAAAGGATTGTGTTGTGAGGTGTGCTTAGGCAATTGGAGGTATGCTTAAGTATAACTAGTAGCAAATGGCTGAAAAAATACAGTTGTCTTCCCAAAATGACGTCATCTCAAACTACCACCGATTCGTCCTTCATTCCTTCCATCAATTTGGAATTGTAATTTGCGACTATAGGTTAAAAAGCTATTTACACTCACAACGCCTAGCCGAATGAGGCGCTAGGCAAGACCAAAATGTTTGCCTTATGCCTAGTGCCTTCTTGAACCTTAGTTATTAACTTATTATCAGGCTTAGACCATGTTTATCAGTTGAATATTTTATAATTTGTGAACAATTATCAATACCAATATTGTAAAATAAACGATTCACCTAATTTATGAATTATGCATTATTTAGTTTGAAAATTTCTTTCATTTTAAGTGTAAACTATTGAAATTATGTGATCATATGGAATATATGTCGTGAACCCATCGAATCCATCCAACCACCCATCATCCACAATCACCCAACCCAATCCACCCACATGTAATGCTTGGGTGGGTATAGATCATTTACTCTTTCACCTACCACATGGTGGGTGGTTCCAAACCTATCAAAACCCGCACAAAGCCACCCACTGCTCATCCATACAAACTAATCCATTAATTATTCAGATTCTCCTCTAAAAAAAGAGAGAAATGGAAATAGCCAAGCAATGATTAATTCTCACGGTCGAATCCCTAGCTAACTGTTACGTAGATGCGCCGTAGGGGCGGAATTCTACGTACTGGATCTTTACTTCTCCGGACTTTTGGATACGTTGCTCGACGCTCTCGAGTAGAGGATCTCCTTAATGGCGAGAACAACCCCAAAATAGCTACGAAACTACTAAACTGAACGAAAGAAATAATCAAAGCAAACAAACATAAATTGGGTTCCAATCTTCTCATGACATTAAACGAACGAAACAAGTACACATTTATAGGCTTAGAAGCCTCTACCCTTTTCCCATCTAGAATATAAATCCTACTCCGCTAAGGACACGACAAACAATAACCTAAACCAACTTGAACAAGGAAAACATTAATTAAGACAATAATACATAAGACCCAATAATATCCAAATACGAACTAATAAGAAAGATACGCAAACCCAGCAATTAATGAAATGCTACGATAGCTCGATCTCGTAACACTAACCCATGTTATCATAAGGGTACTGAGTCATAATATTCACCACATAACTAAAACTATCATTTCTTAATTATTTTCCCACTTGATTAAACTTCAAAAGAGATCCAAGTGATAATAAAATTCATTATAGATGATCATAAATATCAATACCAATAATGATAAGCAACTATATCCCTTCCACTAAAACATTTCTAATCGAGTTTTTGCCACATTCAAAAGAAATTACAACTATTGATGGATGTTTTCTCGCCATGCCATTATTTAATCAACCAAACAAGCAAATAATGATAGCTCATTAAGGTTGGCGAGCCCGACAAGTCCATGAATGAGTGCGAG